CGCTCGCGCTACTCCCTCAGCGCACTTATCCAAGCCACACTTGATGTCGAGTTCATTGCGCAGACGCTCAGCCAGTACACGACAGACAAGGCCTCCGAGCTACAGGGCCAAATCTACCAGGAGCTGGATAGCCGCACCGACAATGACGCCCGCGCGAGACTACAGAACGAGCTGCCTGAGATGCGCAATGTGCTGAAGAAGCTCAGGGACGCGAGCAAGAATGAATTCGCCTGCTTCAAGAAGCCGAGACGGGCGGCGGGACAGGGATACTCACGCGTAGATAGTGGAAGCATGTCGCCGACTTAGAGGGTTGGCAACCGGTACATTTGAAGGAAAAGAACACAGGGGGGGTGGTTTAATTAATTAATTAATTCACAAGAAGATAGAGAGAGCATAATAAATGAGAAGCATTGGAAATCTGGTGATAAAAAAATAAAAAGACTCTTTTGTGTGCGTGTGTGAATAATCATCTATATTATATCTCGTTCCGTATATGTGAATTCGCCATTTTTCTTAAATTTGGGCTAGCCATTGATCAACCCCGCGAACTAACTTCCGAGGGCCACGCAGCGCTGTGACGCCGAAAAGATTGCGCCATCGCTCTATGAATATAAAAATAAGGATAAAAGAGAAGAAGGAAAGATCGTGAAAGGAAAATTCCCCTCTGACTTGAGAAAAAAGAAAAGAAAAGAAAAGAAAAGAAACCCCCCCGAGCAGAATCTGTCTATCACGCTTTTGTGCCTTGCTTTTTTGTGATTTGGTAAAAATAAGAGAGCCCAATAAACCATGCATAAGAACCAACGCCGGAGTTATGCGAAGATCAGTTTAGGAAGTAAACTGGGGAGAGGGGGCCAATGAGTTTTTTTTTTGCCCTGAAATAGTTCCTCCTGATTATGTCAAATATGTTGTTTTGTGATCGTATATGTATGTACTTTTTCGTTTTGTACTTTTCCGCCGTCTAAAACCTGCATCGCCTCGCTTCATTTCAGTTGAAAATGGAAAAAAGAGAAGAAAAGAAAAAAGGAGAGCGTATCTCCACGCCAGTGAGGCAAAGTCGTCTTAATCATCTATATCGCAAAGCAAAACAACAGTGATAATAAGACTGATAGAGTATTAAGAGAGAGAGAAAGAGAGAGAGAGAGAGAGAAAATAATGCGTCAGGTCGTAGTCTCATATCTCGTGGGCGTTTTAGGCCGAGGGGTAAGGGAGGAGAAGGTGTGAGCAGAAGGCCAGTTCGAGAGAACGGGAGTCGGCAGGAGAGAATTGTGAGCCTTTCTGGCGGGTTTCAATATTATCGACTATGATCTAGTTAGAAAAAAAAAAAGAAGAAGAATAGATCAGAAAGTTGAATGATATAAGAAAAGACTTACAATCAAGATCAAGGTTCTTAAAGTACTCGGTGATGTCTGGGTCTCTATCCTGGACCGTCAACTTTCCTTCTTCGCTCCGCATGGTTTGTGGTAGTGCTTTGCGAATGGATAAGAGCATCTTCAGCAACCCGGCCAAGTTTCCGCCCTGCTGAGTGAAAACGCTTGGGTCGCGCTCAAGGGGCCAGCCTGGACGAAGATGGTCCTGCTCCCAAGCCTTGAAGGCCCAGGTTGACTTTTCTACACAGTTGAGAAAAATGATGGCGGTCAGGTAAATCTTGAAGCCGACCTTTGTTTTGCTATCTGTCAGAAGCCTATCCATATGATTCAGCAGGCTCTTGGAAGTGCTGTTAGCCTTTCGTTCAGCCGCGGCATTGAGTTGCATGCAAATCATGGTGTAAATATCGGCATCGTTCTCGTTTTGCGCTTCCTTGATCCACCTCGGTTCTTCCCCTTCAGCACTGGGCTTCTCCAGGATAGTCCATTGCCTTTCGCGATCAATACTCTCAACTAGACCCCAAAGCTCCAAAGCTTTCTTGAGAAGATCGTCTTCTCCCTTTGAGAGCTGGTGGTATGCGGCCTCGAGCGTCACTTTCATAAATTTTGACGGCTCGCGCTCAACAAAAGTAGACAACACATCGCGCATATAGGCCTCGGCTTTGGCTGGAATATCTTCTGAGTCCTGGTCAATCATAATGACCTGGTGAAATGGGTCCTTGTTTCCACGAGCCTCTGCCTGGGTTTCATTTGGTTCTAACGGATACACCAATGCTCCAAAAACAATCTTCTTGCCCGCTTCAGGAAAGTGTGATACTTCAATCACACTTCCATCATTGGTAAGCTTGAGCTGGTCCTTGATGAGGTTGATGCGATTTTGGGAGAGAACGACCTGGACACCAGCAGCATATAGGTCGAGCTGTTCGTGCAGTCGAGTGCGGACACAGCCAGTCCTCCAGACACGAGGTGCTAGTACTTTGCGGCAGGTATCGCAAGGAGTTCCCTTGCCGCAATTCTTTCTTAAAATCCGGCACCTAATACAAGCACCTATCTTGCGTACTTCTTGGACTTCTTTCCGCCTAGCAGGAGTAAATCTCGACCGTGCATGGCGGGCTCTGCCGTTGATCAACGCATCACTCGTATCCATTCGGACACCGCCACGACTCATAAGCGGTAGCGCTGGAGAATTTTCTGTGAGCAACGGGATGGGGGCAGTGGTAGTCAAGTATGTCATCTCCCCCCACGGCTGAGAAACACTCGTGTCGGGTAGAGAGACGGGTAAGGGGGCAGTTGGCATTGGATCGATGGTCGTTTGGGGCTCGGCGGTTGGAGGTGAAGAGGTCGACGGAATGTCAGTATGGACAAGCTGAGGGTCGAGAAATGACGGGTTCAAGCGAGCCGTGGCGGCAACGGCAACGGAGATGTTGGAGGCATCTGGCAACACATCGCCAGGGGGGAGGAGAGCCTGGAGACGTTCCTCCGGCGAGAGCTCAGAAGTCGGTGACGCCACTTGCACAGCAACGTTGCCTGCAGAACACACAGGTTAGCCAAGCTCCTGCAATGGAAAAGCAGCACGCTGGAAAGCAATTGATGCTTACCTTTCTCTTTCTTGATGCTGGTGCTTGTCTGAGGGCGGTTCTCATAAGCTGAGGGAGGGTTATCCAGCGTAAATTGCTCTTGCAGCTCCAGTCGATCGGTCACGTATCCGCCCCCATTGGCAGGATTGGCTGCGTCTGGTGCTTTCTGGCCTCGGCTATTTTCATTCAAATCGACCTGGCGCGATGCCTCGGCGAGCGTCTCGAGAGCACTCCATCCCTGCGGCAGCGCAAGCTGAGCGGTCGGCTGTCCATTGACCGGGGCCCCGCCGAGAGGCTGGCGCTCGACAGCTGCCCTGGCGGTGATGCCGTGGAGCTCGAGGCAGGCTCGCATGCGGTCGGAATCGGAAATGGCCGGACATTTCTTGGTGATGTGCGTCGTCAGGCTGTCGATGCGGCCCTTGGGGAAGTTCTCGCCGCACTGCTTGCAGGTGTGCGGATAGCGGTTGCTGTTGTCGTTGAGCTTTGGCCCGCGGACGAAGTACTCGAGGATGAGGGGGTTCGGCTTGCGACCCATTGCGCACTGCTGTCGATTGGAGACGCTCGGCTCAGCGCAGAAGGGCCTGGGCGTCTCGAGTTCGGCCTGTTGGCGGTCGGTGGTGATGCTCTTGCCTGCGGGTGGCAGAAAAGGCGGAACACAAGCAGTATTGCGGTTCTGACGTGGGCCCAATGGATTCTGCCCGCGTTATCGACAAAATATTTCTAGACCGCCTGTCGGTGGCAAAGCGGTATGCAGAAAAAAAAAGAGGGCCTCCAGGGGGAATATGCGCACACAGGCTGGCAATAGGAGCAGACAGCGGTCGCGGTCATTTGGTGCCGGAAGTGTGTGTATCTTTTCGCGCGGCTCCCAGTTTTTGTGCACCATGCTTAGGTAAGATTTCGGCGCCGTATTAATCCGGCCGAGATGGAATTGCCCGATTCGATCCAAGATTGTGTGTGACAGTGAGCAAGTTGCATCTGTCGATTACTCCATCACATAGATAAGCTTGGATGAATGAAAGTGTAGGTTCCTACTCTACCAAATAAGGAACGGTCTTCAAGTTGTTACAAATTTGCATTATTCAAGCATCGGAACTCGGAAAGCCTTTTGTCGGTACATGTACCGTGTAAGTGCAGCCACATGTAGCTCCAGTCACGCTGTGGAAGATAGGGCGAGACCGTGACTTTGCATGTAACATTAACACACCCTATATGTGCTCCTTTGTTCTCGCCTGCACGTGGCATGAAAAGACGGCACGGCAACATACAATGAAATAGACGTTGTTGGTGCCGCTAGTGGTGATGAGTTACTGTCCTCTCTGCCCCGCATTGTGATCTCGTTCATTCGATGTTGCTCGGAACTCGCCTAGTCTCATCTCATACGTCTCATATTAGCCTCGGAGATTCCTTTGCGTGGACATGCTCGGCTTGATACAATACCCCGTACCAAAAGTACTAGTATGTGTATATGTACATCTAAGGTAGGTACAATATGCAGACGATAAGTGTCCACCACGAACAATCCACTCGCGATAACTCGAGATGCTGCGTTCCTGGGTCTAACTTGTTTGGGTCTGCGCCACGAGATCCAAGTGCCTCGAGCCTAGAACGCCTCTCCCGGTTTGCGACCCCGCAAGGAAGACCATCTGCCTAAATAACCCTACAAGAAGAGTGAAAATTCATTGCGTGCTGGGTCTGGTTCATGTAAGCTAATTCGCCCATGACTCAAGCTCGCTACTGGGGTTTTGTGTTTTGCGTTAGCTTTCCGGTAGGCCTGTATGAAAAGAAGCTTAATGGAGAAGGCTCTCTTTATACTACTTATAGGCTAATACGGCATCTCCACAAGCGGTAGGTACTTGAGCACTATTCAGTAGAAAGTTGCTAGTGGAGGTTACATCTCTTCTGTCTAATACTATAATCAAACACCACTAGCATTGGGTGCCGTACGCCTCCAAGACGAGGTCTAGCCACGTTCGTGATACTGCCGATTATGGCTGCAAGTCATGCGACCTGTCTTCATTTATTCGTCTCTTTATCCAAAGCGTCGCGTGCCCTTTCTACAGTCGTCGTCGGCTTAACCGGCGCGGTAGACGGCCGAAGCGGGCATGTTTAATTGTGATTTTCATCGACTTCCAAGACATGTCATTGCGGAGAGACAGCGCCGGCCCAAGGCTCGGCACTTTTTGCTCCGGCTTGTCGCCGCCCTCGCGTCTGCAAAAAAGCGCCATTTGTGCCCGGCCGGACGATATCGCAAGGTCGCTTTGATATTGATACCACCACTACTACTGATAACGCTGATATTGTGCCACTTCGGCACTTGAACGGCCGTCCCTCGCAGATCTCGCAGGCCCTCCAGCCTGGCGTCTTGCCTATTCGGGCACAATGCAGGGCCCCTTGGCCACTCAGGTGGCATGCGCATCCCACGTTGTCTCTCAGGCGCCGCCCACTCATGATCAACCTCCAGGAACGTGATTATATGTGTATTGAGTGCTGGCTGCGACCGTGCATGGAACCGCTGCTATTTTTCTGTGCGGAGCATGCATAACGGCGTATGCTTTCCGCCTTGGCATTTTGAATAGCGAGAGGAGGGGGTGAGAGATCTTTGGCTCGAGAGTTGTATATAAGTCTGGTGTAAAGTACGGCGTCGACGGCTTTTCTCCTCTAGTATGCTCCTTGTATCTATTGGGCTGTGCATACTTATAATCATAATGTATTCTACATTAGTATTGTTACCGTTGATCGCGTTAGCCAACTCGGCCGCGCTTCCTCCGGTTGACCTAGCCAGCTATGTCTTGACCAGTGTAAGTGAACTGTCCAAGTCATGTGTAGCATCACTTTGCTCATACATGCTGCGCCTCGGAAGAATCAAGCTGACTTTATACCACTAGACGGGAGAAACAAATGGCGGAAACACTTTCCCCGGTGTTTCTCGACCACTGGGCATGGTCAAGCTTGGCCCTGATCTCTACTCTGGCACAGATGCTTACTCGGGGTATCTTGCAAAGGGTAACTTCACTGGCTTCACTATGCTTCATGAGAGCGGCACTGGAGGCGCTCCAAAATATGGCGTCGTTTCTCAGATGCCTGTTGTTGGGACGGTAAACAACCCCCTCAGTGACGCCATCAACGACACTCGCGCCGCGCCCGATTATACCGAGATTGGCTACTACAAAGCAAGTCTTGGCTCTGGAACTGTCTTAGAATTGGCCGCTACCAACAAAGCGGGCATGTTTCAGTACACGTTCCCTAGCGTCGACGAAGATCTCAATGTCCTTGTGGACGTATCCCACGTCTTGTCATCCTACCGCGGCCAAGGGCTAGAACAGCACTTCTTGGGAGGAAGTATTAACGTCGAAGAAGATACCGATGTCGGGTACTATTATTATACTGGATCGGGCACTTACAACAATGTGAGTCAAGATGCCGCCTTCTGCCCCTGCCTTTGAAATCTGGAATGTCTTGCTAAGATGAAATCAGGGATGGAACAGAGCTGGTCCTTGGACAGTCTATTTCTGTGGATACTTTGACGCCCCGGCTTCGTTCAAAACATTCATTGGAACGAGCCTAAACACGTCAACTCTGGCTGAGTTTTCAAACGAGGAGACCAGCTATAGTTCCAAGACGGCGAGGCTGGGTGCGCTTTTCACGTTCCAGCAAACCTCAGTGACCTCTAGGGTTGGCGTTTCATTCATCTCAGAGTCTCAAGCATGTGCCAACGTCAACGCAGAGATTCCCAAGGACACCAGTTTTGCGACGGTGCGCCAGGGAACTCGAGATGCTTGGAACTCGCAGGTTTTGTCAAAAGTGACAACCACTGAAACTAATGTTACGAAACTGAACCAGCTCTATTCAGCACTTTATTTCATGCATTTGCTCCCCTCAAATAAGACAGGAGAAAACCCTCTCTGGAGCTCTGGTGAGCCCTACTATGATGACATCTTCACTTTTTGGGACACAGTAAGCCTCCATGCCTCATCCCCCCCCAATTGATTTGCGGTTACTAATGACTTATCTTAACAGCACCGCTGCACAACCTCTCTTCTTCATATCCTTCAACCAGTGTTTTATGAAGAGCTCCTGAGATCCATGATTGACATCTACCGCAATGAAGGTTATACCTCTGATGCGCGCTCCTCGTTTTGGAATGGTGCTGTCCAGGGAGGCTCAAACAGCGACAACGTCTTCGCTGATGCATATGTCAAGGGTGTGCGCGGCAAGGTTGACTGGGAAGGCGCCTATGCTTCCATGGTGAAGAATGCTGAAGTCGTGCCGGCCAACAACAATGATCCGCGCGATCCTACGGGCTCAACCAAGGAAGGACGAAGCGCACTTCCAGATTGGCTACAATACGGCTACATCACTCCTCGATTTGGAAGATCCGTAAGCAGAGCTGTTGAATAGTAAGCAAACCACTCTCGTACCCCCCCTGCAGTGTACATCTTCATTTGTCTAACATTGCTACAGCGCAGTCAATGATTTTTCGCTGGCAACAGTTGCCAACGGCCTTGGTCTTCAGAATGACTTCAAGAAGTATCTCAACAGATCACACAACTGGCGCAACCACTGGAACACCAACATGACTGCGCTTGGATTCTCTGGTTTCCTTGGACCAAGAAACACCAGCGGCTTCATCAGCCAAAATCCCATTTCTTGCGGCGGCTGCTACTGGGGAGACTTGTACTACCAAGCCCTCCCATGGGAGTATTCCTTCAACGCTCATCACGACCTGGAGACTCTCGTTGAGTACTGCGGCGGAGCTGACACATTCGTCAAGCGCCTTGAGATGACTTTCCAACCTGGCATTTACTCCGGCAACAGCGCCTTTGGCAGCACAATCTTCAACCCTGGAAATGAACCTAGTTTCGTGACTCCTTATCTGTACAACTATGTCAACAGACAAGATCTTTCCGTCTTGAGAAGCCGCTTCATCGCCAAATCATACTACAGCCCAACGCCAGGCGGCCTGCCCGGCAACAGTGACGCTGGTGCCATGGAGTCATGGCTCTTGTGGAGCATGATTGGTCTATTTCCCGTCACCGGCCAAACCACTTTCCTCATCGGATCTCCATGGTTCACAGACCTGACCATCTCCCTTGGTGGCGGCAAGAAGCTTAAGATCACCACCACTGGCGGCAGTGAAAACGTCTACTACGTCCAGTCACTCAAGGTCAACGGCCGCCCGTGGAACAAGAGCTGGGTGAGCTGGTATGACATTTTTGCTTACGGAGGAAGCCTCGACTTTGTACTTGGCAGCACACCAAGTAACTGGACAACTGGCCCAACGCCACCCAGTCCGGGAAGTGTAAGCGCTGTTAATGCTAAGCAGCTGTTGACTGATATGTCCAAGGGAGTCAGCTCTTGATCCGGAAATGTTAAATGAAATTTAAAAAAGAAGGAAAAAAGCAAAAACAAAGCAAGATGTAAATAGTAGTATATAGTATATTTGTGAAAAGTAATAGTTGTCTGCTTCAACAAGTGCATCTCCTGTCCACGTGCTCGAGTAGCAACACCACCATGTGAACATCTGACGAAAAAAAAAAAGTGCAAAACATGATTGCTAATTGAAACGAAAAAGCGGCCGCATATAAGTGGTATATATCCGTATACATCAACAAAAAAAAATCTGGTATTTTCCCTCGTCCTGATTTCCGATCACCCAAGAACGCCTCGCTATGCCTGTCTGGCCAGGTGGAGTAGGCATATAGATCTGAATTTCTTCTAACAGCTTTCCATAACAATGAAGTAAACAAACGTCGCTTATTTATTATCTGCGTCCCAAACGTTCCGGAACTCGTCAGAGTCTGATATTTGGTAGCTGGACACACTCTCTCGTGCGTCGTTACGTTCTGTAGAGGCCCACGGCCCATGCTCTTCGGGGGCAGGGCTGTGGCTGCCGTCGCAGCTCTGTGTAGCTCTAGTGCTGCCTTGATCTTCCCGGTCGGATATTACATCAGATGGTTTAGGGTCTGGGTGCTGTATAGCCTTCTTTGGCTTCTTCTTCTTCTTTATAACAACCACCGGCGGCTGTTGCTCTGACTCAGTTTGTTTGCCTTTTTGCTGTGATGATTCGGCTGTGTCGTTACTTGTCGGGATGCTGGTGTATGTATGAGAGTTGAGAATTCTCGTCTCTGAGCTGCTTGCCCAGGAAGCATAACGTTCCCTGAGCGGTTCGCTTGCAGTAATGACTGGGTACTATTTCCATAGAGTCAGCGGATATAGAACAGTTTGAAGAAAAAAAAAAAAAAGCCGCCAACTTACGTTCCAATCCCCGTATTCTAGTTGTCGGGCTTTATCATATAGACGATCCTCATCAGGATCAATTTCCGGCTCGTCAAATGTTCCATGGGTATTCTCGTTAAGTTGATCGGGGCGAGTGGAGCTGGATGATCCATTGCCATTACCCAACAATGGTGCCGTCGCATTCACCTCTCCCGGTTTTGGAATCCAATATTTCCCTTTACCTCCACGTTCATATCGCATGCCTTCCCTCAGTCTAGCATATCTTGAACTGGAATCCTCGTGCGCTATGACCTTGTCGCCAGAATCGAATGTCCGGTAGCCGTAATTGTCTCCTCTAAAAGTCTCCTTGGAATCTTCAATGAGATCTTTGATGCCAAATGCATCACGGAAAGCATAGTTGAGTGGCATGCGAGCCGACTGGATCCTATTATCGGCAAAATCGTGCCAAGAAAAGGCGTACCAGTGAGCTACTGCGAAAATTGGCATCTCCACGCAGATGAGAGCGTCTTGGATGGCCGCTGCTAGGTTGTCACGCGTGTAGCCCTGAACATCATCGGGGATAGCACCAAGCCACACAAGAATCGATAGGAAAAACCCCTGCCAATACGAAGCAAAGATGATGAGTTTGATGCACAAGAATTTGGGGACGGGCCGGAATGGCACCAGGTCTTTGTGCATGCAAACCCAAAACAGCCCAAGCGAGTACAGACTGACTGTGACACTAATGTTGTAGATTATGCCGCTCCAAAAATAGCCAGATTTAGCTCCGATATATCCTTCCTGGTAGGTACCTGTAGCCTTCATAATTATAGCCGCGAGAGCGAGGATGGGTTTGAGCCATGCATACTGGAGAATGCCCCGCTTGATGGCTAGGAACGTATACGGGTCTGAAATGTCGACTTTGGGTAGGACATGGTTCATAGGCCATAGATGGTGGACGGGAGCCCGACCGTGGGGCATAACGATGGCCGATCGCTCTCCGCCCAAGTAGTTGATCAGAAGTTGGAAAAAGGTATATATCGTAAATGCTTCATAGATGTCTCGAACAGGGTCTAAGAATGCAGCAGCTCGTAATGAAACCATGCTTGTCCATGATGAGATCGAGTATATCGGCACCATCAGCAGGATGCGGACGACGTAGCGCTGGAGCAGCGGCTTGCGATAGTTTTTTGCTTGCAGCCATATAGAGCTGCCAAGGCACTGGTTAGGACGCTTCGCAGCCGGCGGAGAGGAAATATAGCTTACATCACTGATACCACCGTTGCTGCCAGAGATGCGACGCCCGCGACCACTGTGGTGGCGGTGGTGAACTTCTGGCCGGTGCCCAGATCAGGCATGATGGCGACGACGCGACTCTCGGTGGGAGATTGGAGGAGAGTCTGGCGAGAGCAGAGAATGGTTCGTTTAGGTCATCGCTCCGCCCTGCATGCGGTGTTCTTCGAAGCAAGGAGACTTGCAGCTTAGTCAAAGCACTCGGGGCGACGAGGCTGGTCCCGTGGCTAAAACAACGACAGAAAAAAAAGAGGTTAAAGTATGACGAAGCTCACAAGATCAGGTCGATCTAAGAGTAGTAGGAGGTTGCTGCTCCTTGGCTCCCAAAGGCTTCGCGGCCGGAGCTTGGACCCCGGGGGAGGTACCCGCTGACCCGCGCTCGGCGCGGAAATACTTTCGATGATGTACAAAGCATGCCTTGCTGCTGCATAAAGCTCCACTGATGCTAGTGGATCGTGGCGAATGGAGGCTTCTGAAAATGGCAATTTAGCGGGTAGCTCTAGCGCTCGTAGGGGGTGGACGTCAATCCCCAAACCCCAGCCGCGGAATTGATTCTATTCGTCTCTTTCATTCAACATCGGCATCTGCTCGCACACCTAGACGCTGCAGCTTCAAAGACATAAGACATGCAGAGGAGGATCGACCGATCCCTTCCACAATAATCCCCGACAATCGGAGAGCCGCGGCTACGGACAATGATATTGGGTCTCTGGTGGGCGTGGGGAAGCTCGATCGCGAAGCTCTCGTCGACATGGATCGGCTCCTGAACGCAGATGGCGCAGATACACTCACTCAAGTGAAGCCGGGCTTCAACTAGTACGTGATGATGGGGTTTAAAGACAGCTGTGCAGCTACTAAAATCCTTTGTCTAGCGAATTTCTAATCTTTCTGATCGTTTCCGCAATCCTCGCCATATTCTTCTTGCTGTACTTTAACCGACTGTTCGGCTCTGTCGTGTCTTATGTGATTCGGACTTGGACATGGCATCGATACCACATATATCTCGACATAAAGGCGCTTCAAGTATCTCTTTTGGCTGGTCGAATATTCTTTATGGGTTTGCGATACCACGGCGCGAACGAAACGTTTTGTATTCAACATGGAGATATTACCTGGAGATATTGGCTGCGTCGTGTTAGAGAGGCTGACATTTTCGCGTCGGATGGAGAAGGGGAGATACGGGAATCAGAAAGACAGAAGAATGCAGCGTTGCCATGTCGGATAAACGTAAACCTTGTTGGTGTGGAGTGGTTTGTCTATAACCGCAGTCCAGCATATGATTCGGTCCTTGCCGGTATCATCGATCCAACTTCCTCTAGCTCAAGCTCGAGCGTTGGGGGGACGGATGAGAAAGGAGATACAGGATTACGACCGCGGAAGACGAATCAAGAAGGTTTATCCGAACGAGACCGAGATTATACACCCCCCGAAAAGAGCAATAGGGCATTGAATGGAAACGGGAACCCTGAAATAGGAAGTCGGCCCAGCACTGGATATAAAAGCAAGAGTAGCGATGAGGGCCCAGACCACGAAAGTTCAGAGCTACCTTTTATTCTCAAACTATTTCCCATCCAGATCGAATGCCAGAAAGCTGCGGCAGTGTTTGGAAATGAAAACACCAAAGCAGTCCTAATCGTGAAAGCCGACTCTCTTTTCGGAGATGTTGATGCTTTAGAGACAAAAACTGTGGATCAATACAGGCAGGTAATCAAGGTTGAACTGGAGCATCCCGTGGTGGAAATGCTGGATAACCCGGACTATAAAGAAGACCAGGCCGCACGAGCTAAACGGGAGCGAGAGAACGTTCCCCAAGAACCACAGCAAGTTCCAAGGAAGTCATATTTCCGCCAACATAGACGCAAAGCGCTGAGCTCCTTGCGAAACTTGGTGCCCTATTGGCGAAGATCTGTCGAGTCGTTTTCAAGTGACGCTCGGGCTGGAGGGGGTGCTGTGCCAGCCCAAGTTCCTGGGGCCGTCCAATGGCAAGGCTTGTCACGGTATCTCGATGATCAGGACATAGATGATAAAACTCGCTGGTCCTCTGTTGAGTATGCCGCAGTATCAACCGTCCTCGATAGCCCAGCCTGTCAACTGACTGTATACTGGGATGCTGTCAGCAAGGTAACCAATGATGCTCATCGCCAGAGACAAATGAACCCATCTTTAAATATCAATGGGGCAGAGCCACCGGCCTGGGGAGTACATTTATCGGTGAAAGGAGGGACCATGAACTACGGGCCATGGGCCGATCGGCAAAGGGCTGATTTGCAACGTGTTTTTGTGCCTTCGCTCTCCAAGGATGGCACCGCCACCGGACCGCTTCCAGCTGGAGCATGGAGAGTGGCTACACAGTTTGACTTGCTGGTAGAACTGGACGATACAGTTACGCTTCGCATTCCCATAAGGGAAGAGTCTAAAAACTGGCGTTGGCGTGGTAAAGAGCCGCCACTAGTCAAGCAAGAAACGACTCGCAACGCACGCAAGCATTGGAATAGGGGCAAGAAAAATTCAAAAAGCGAAGCGGTCCAGCTTCGCCCTTCCGGTTGGCTTGAATTCAAGCTTCCTCAAAACTCGACTATAAGATATTTCATGGACATGGTGGCCAGTTCATCTGGCTATAAAAACAAGCTAGCGGTTCACTTGCCCAGCACTGAGCTGCGGAGCAGCATCAATCATGATGTACTCTGGCGGTCTGGTCCCCAGCAGATTTCCTGCGATCTTTCAAACCCCCTCTCATGGAATACGCTGCGCAACTGGAATTTTAACATAGCATGTGATGGAATGGATATGTATCTCCTGAGGGATCATATCTTTTTGATCGTTGACTTGGTTGACGACTGGTCAGCAGGCCCCCCTGCCGAGTATCTTGTGTTCACGCCCTTTTTATACCATCTTCATCTCAGTTTGCGAAATGTGAAAATCTATCTCAACGTTAACGATGAGAACATTATCGATAAGCCAACTGACATGGACGAAAACACGTTTCTTATTCTCTCTAGTCCCGAATTGAAAGCCGAAACCTGTATACCTCTTGATAATTTCCGACCAAGCAGGAACAGTATTCCTTTCGACATACGGACTGAAACCCTTGACTTGGCACTGCACGCTTCTGAGTCAAATACGCAGGCGACGTTCCTGAAATCCAAAGAATTAGGACACATTGAAGGCCTAGCAGTCGTTGGAAGTTATCAGTATAATGCAACAACCTCCCCCGCTAATACAGATACTCTCGAGTTGAATATCCATGCTCAGTCACCCTCCGTTTACCTCTACGGCTTCGTGGTTCGATACTTTATGCTACTTAAAGACAACTATTTTGGCGAGTATGTACATTTCAGAACCCAGGAGGAATATCAGGAGCAATTACAAGCGAAGGCGCAAAATCCAGATGCTGAGCCGGCTATTCGCCCCCCAAACAAGAAATCCAATGATCTTGACGTGATATTGGCCATCAAATTGGACGACCCTCGCCTCTTGATTCCTACAAATATTTACTCCTCGAAGTGCTATATCCAGGGTGAATTGGCCTCTTTATCACTGGACTTGCGTTTTACAAATTACTATATGGATATGGAACTTGATTTAAGTCCATTATCACTGTCTTTGGGCAGCTCAGAGAGCAATTTGGATTCTCCCAGTGTGTCAACTGCTGATACTCAACTATTTGTCGATGGCGTCCGAGTATTTGGCCACCGCACATTTGGCTTACCTCCCTCAGAGCCAACATACCTTTGTAACTGGGATGTTTCAGTTGGTGCAGTCGCTGGAGAGTGCACAACTGATTTCGTAGCCGCTTTGACCAAAGCAGGACCGGCATTTGGGTTTACATTTGATGATGTGGAAAACGCCGTGGTGCCATATTCTTCGTTAATTTTTTACGACGTGACGTTCGTTCGGGTTGCTGTTCAGTCAGTTCGTCTTTGGATACATGTGGAAGAAAGCGTTTTCTGCTTTTCTACCGACGCCATCGACATCAACAGCAATGACTGGGCTCGCTCGCACTATTCAAAGCGAGCCAACATACTGATACCAAACCTCCAGCTATCATGCATAAATGCAGACTCAGCCGCGAGACACAAGTCACGCCCACAGCATCCGGTTGAAACTCAGGCATATCTAAAAACAGATATTCGACTTGCATCCATTGGAAGGAAATTTCATTTCTCCGAAGAACGCAAAATTCAGCAAGACCTAATCTATCGCGAGGATCAACGAACAGACAGGACGCCGTTCCTTCTCCTCCCTGGTACAGGCGGCGATTTAGTTCCCGAACAAGTTGACCCTCCCGCGCAGTGCATGCCCCCTCCTCCCCCTCCTCTTGCCGATATTGAGTACGATAAGGCCTCAGTGAGCACCCGCTCTCGGAGAGTGACCCGCCAAAGGTCGTTTCTTTCCTTCGTTAGCTCTTCGAGCGATAGCAGTATCGGTTTCCGTAACGGTCGCCGCGACATACAAAGGACATCACACTTTGGAGGCAGCTTGTCAATAAGGTCTGCTGCCATGATGGGCTCTCGCTCTGACATGGACAGGTTGGAGGCTGCTTCCCCTGGTAGACGGCCTTCTTTCTACAGCACTGTTGGCGACTTTTCAACAAAAGAGAACGCCGAACAATCTCAAATTGCCTTCTCGAGCCAATATTTCAACCCAAATTTTCCTTTGGAAGGAGTCAGGCCCGATACCAGAGATGCAACCTTTCCGCCTATCGACGAAGAAGATTTCGAGTTTTTTAACCGACTGAAGCTGGATTTGACCGATATCGACCCCATTGATCTCAGTCAAGACCACGCCCAGTCAAGTACGATTATTGAGTTCCCGTCTGGAATAAGCGCATTTGTCACTCCTGAAGCTATCCGCCATGTAACTATCTTAGTGGCGGCGTTACAACCGACTGAACCTGAAGATGTGCTAGACTCTCTCCAGTCTAGTACTATTACGGACATCTTCAAATCTCGAAAAGAAGCACGGATTGAAGGAGAAATGCTTGACTTTATGGTCAAATTACCTAGAATCAACCTCCGGTTTCTCAATTCGTCGACACTAGATTCGCCAGATCCATCTGAAGAAGAGCTGGATCAATATGACCTAACAATATCCAAGGTCTCCGTTGTGACGCGAACTACAAAAGAACAAGGCGTTACTAACTCTAGAACTTCTCTAGACTTACGTCTAGGCTCTATTGAGGTATCAGCCTCGGAGCGCCTTTCGTCTGTGCAGAAGCCACAAGCAGCTGTAGTAGTCCACATCGATGGGGTGAGGGTCTCCCTAGGAGCTAAAGAAATCACATACTTCGATGCCGACATTGGCTCAGTCGAGGGAAGAACTGCGTCAGGCAAGATCGAGTATTTGGCCTCTTTGATTCATCGTACAGGCAATGTTGCTACTGAGCTGGAGCGGCTCTTGACAGAGGTCAATCAGCGCCATTCTACGCGCGTTAGATACTTTGTACTACGCCTGTTGCAGCTAGGAGAGGCAACCAATGATCCTCCATTCCTTATACGACCTTCGGCTGTTCTTAGATCTGCAAATCAACATTTGAGAACAGTAGATTCTTGGAAAATGATCATACGACTTCGTCAAATCTGGGATACGAAAAATGAGTTAGAGAAATCTCGTTTAATCCAAGAATGTTGGGGTGAATCGCCCACTCTTCCACCTGATGCAGTTCAACGCGTGGTGAATTCCTTTGAGAAGTGGAGAAACTGGGATTTGGAAAACGTTTCACACGCTCTCCTCCTGAAGAAAATATTTGGTGATATAGGAGCTGATGACCAAGAGGACGAAGAAGTATACCCTCTCTTAGGTGCTTGTAAGCTTGGCAGCATTTGCCTCATACTCGATCCGGGCCCAAAGCAAAACAGAATTGGTCTTGTCGAACTCAGTGCAAGGGTCGAAAGAAAACTGGGGGATCCTACTACCGCTGTCTTGGGGACAATACCTGTGGTTGTTTTGAATATATGCTGTGGCGATGCTCTAATCAATTTGAACTGGGAACTTTGTGTTCTTGCCGATGATGTTTTGCGGTTATACAACAGAAGCCAGAGTCGGGCCCCCCCACCCTTTCAGAAACCAGTTCTGGAGGCCATGAGGCCGCAAAAGAAGCCATTAGCAGCTTATCATCTTGCTCTTGAGCTCATCAAGGGTTCTATTGAACTCGAAACGGTCAACTTAAGCGCGAAGACTCTGGGTGACGGGCTTAAAGCTTCCTTGCTCACTTTTAATACGAGTGATGGCGCAACCCTTACGAGCTTGATGATAAATGGTGAAGCTGTCACTTCCATGTTACATAGCCATTCACATCCCCTCGGCGTTTCCCAGTTTCGAAGACCAAGTTTATGCGTTTCTCATGAACTAAAGACAGTCGATGAGGTGCCGGCGCACAAAGTCAAAGCGACGGCCAGCAGCCAAGGCCTAACATTTACCGTGAAGCAAGACCCTATTGGTCTCATGGAAGTTCTTGATCTACTCTTTAGAGACGAGATTGCTCAGCTCTATCGTTTGAAAACACAGCTTCCTGATTTGTCAAAGGCTGAATCTCAGACTGAAACGGCTAATCGCCCGTCAAACTTCAGGATTAATATTGCCACTTTCATAGATGCTTACGAAATTAGGCTTCCCTTGATACCAGCTCTCACATATCAAATCTCTGGTGTTGTCGCGCGGGCGGCATGTGCGGCAGACTCTTCCAAAGAAATCATTTTTGACTTTGACATTAAAGAAAACTCCCATGAGATGCAAATAAACGTCAAAAATGAATCTCGTACCATCTCTCTTTTACAAATACCACCTACAAATGGACGCATCACAATGAGCCAAGGACAGAAGGCAGAGAGTATACTGAACGTGCTCTGCTCAGTTGAAGTCATGCGTTTGGATGCATCGGCTATATATAATCTCCTCACGGCACTCAATCGACCACAGATCTCTACTGCCATCGAAGAGATACAACTACAATCCAAAGCCATCCAAGAACATATTGAAGATATCTTTGGGACTAGCGAGACGAAAGAAAGTCAAAATCCCAGCTCGAATATGGTATACGCCGTTCATCTTACTTTGGAAGGACTACAAATTGCATCGAAGACGGCGTTGAAGTCCGAAGCTGGATCAATGGCGCACGTACTCTTTTTTATGGATAAAGCTTATTTGCGAGCGTCTAACCGCCATGAAATACACGGCCCTATTCTCAAATATCCTGAGATGCATTTGAATCTCAGACATGTTGGGTTTGATATCCAAAGAGGAACGGAAGATAATATGAGGTCATGTGGTAATTTCGGCGCAAGCTTTACAATATCTGCCAACTCAAGTCCTGGAGATGATGGAAAAGACGAGTGGTCATTCAACTTCAGGAGTGATGAGTTTGACGTAAATTTATCGCCAAGGTCGACATCCACAGCTGTTGATGTGCTGGGTTATCTAGGGACCAAGATAAAGGATTTGGACACATCGCGAGAATTAGAATACCTAAGAAGGCTCAGACAATCCAAGCCACGAATTTCTATCAACGATGACGAGGTCTTACCCGAGTATACGGACATTCTCGAATCTATTTTGGGATCAGTCGTGTATCGGTTCGAACTGCGAAGCATTCGTGCTTCCTGGAACGTTGCGGATGATAGTGGACATCAAGCGAGCGACGAGGAGGATCTAGTGCTATCTATCAGACTAATTGAGTTCGGCACGAGGACCAAGAGATCTGCACGATTGGCCATAGAAGACTTTCAACTTCAAACGGTGCCACCCGGTCATGACAGGAATTTGAGATCTGTACACTCGGCGCTTCTTCCTCAGGTCATTTTCAACATTGCCTACTTCTCTACGGTAGACGCTCGCCGGTTGGCATTCCAGGCTGCGGGTGAATCCTTGGATCTCAGATTGACATCAGCTTTCATTGTCCCCGCAGCCAACTTGGTGGAATCAATATCGTTGTCAGCAAAGAATGTGCAAAAGGCATCCGTACAATGGAATAACGAGGCAGCACAGAGCAATAAGAAGCTTGAAAGCGCATCCAAACCCAAGCCTTCACGAAGCGCCTTTGGTAACAAACGGCTTGAGAGCTTACTCATGGATGCCGATTTTGCAGGCGCGGTTGTTTACGTGTCAAGCGCGAAGTCTGCTCGTGACGCTGCACGGCTTTCACGAAACGGCCGCCGACCGTCCCTGGCAGGCAAATATGGCCAGTTCACAACAGATGACTCAGGAAGCGGCGCAGTTTTGCGAAGCCCTGGGCTTGCCTGGAAAGCTGAATACCGGGACAATGGCCGAGATGATCCTGCACTATCGGGTGAAGTCAAGATTGATGCTTCGAGCAATATTCTATACCCATCAGTCGTTCCGCTCATTATGGATATTGTGACTAGTGTGAAGGAGGTAGTGAGTGACGATACCGATAGTGAATCAGCCTCAAAGCCCGAACCGCCAAAGCTGAAACCAGAGAAGTCTGGAGATGAGGATAATATCCTTACTGCAGACCCCAGCGCGGTATTGGGTCGTGTCAAGTTAAACTTGGGCCTACGTATCTGCAGACAAGAATTCTCATTGAGTTGCCAGCCTATAGCCCGCGTTGCCGCTACGACGAGCTTCGAAAGTGTTTACTTTACGCTCAACACAGTCTCTTCACAAGAGTACGGAAACTTTTTTGCCATATCTGGCGTTCTTAACAAACCACAAGCTTCGGTACAGCATGTGTACTCAAGAGAGTCAACTGCAAGCTTCGAGGTTGAGACTGTAACACTTTCATTTATGAATAGCAAGCACGTCAGCGGCACAAGCGGCGTTTCCGCTATCCTAAGTGTAAGCCCCATGAAAATTTCTGTCAACGCCAAGCAGGTACAAGACTTTTTACTGTTCGAAGAAATCTGGTATCCTAAAGATTTGAGAAATGCAAGCACAACGCCAGTGCCAAAGCTAGCTACAGAAACATCACAAGGCCATTTGGTTCAAAGGTATCAGCAAGTGGCGGCCACAGCAGCTTTTCCGTGGACGGCGACGATATCCATCGCCGCCCTGGATGTCAGTGTTGATATGGGGCAAGCGATAGGCAAATCCGTCTTTCAGATTAGCAAATTTTGGGTATCGTCTAAGAAGACATCTGATTGGGAGCAGAATCTATGTCTCGGCTTTGATAAGATTGGCATCGACTGTACCGGCCGCTTGAGTGGATTCATTGCTCTACGGCATTTCAGATTACGGACCTCAATCCATTGGCCGAAGCGAGAAAAAGCACTGAATGAGACTCCTCTGATCCAAGCGTCTATTGCCTTTAACGAGCTACGTATCAAGGCGGCATTTGATTATCAAGCCTTCTTAATTGCAGACATCACCTCGTTGGAATTCTTGATGTACAATGTGAGAGAGGGTAAAGATAGCAGCGGAGACCGTCTTGTAGCAATATTCGATGGTGATGCCGTGCAAGTATTTGGCACTGCGACATCAGCCGCTCAGGCTGTCTCTCTTTACCAGGCTTTTACGAAGCTAATGCAAGAGAGGCGAGAGAATTTTGAGTCATCGCTCAAGGAGATTGAGAAGTTTATGAGGCGGAAGTCTTCAGCGGCGCGCCAATCGATTTCAGCCGCGACGAGAACTCCCAAGCTACCGACGGATGACACCATGTCCAAATCTCCAATTTCTCTGGACACAGATGTGGTTGTAACGCTACGTGCACTCAATCTCGGAGTGTTCCCAAACACATTTTCCGATCATCAGGTATTCAAGATGGAGGCCCTGAATGCATACGCGCGATTTGCCGCGAGCATCGAGCAACGACGAATCCATAGCATGCTGAGGATGACCCTGGGACAGCTTCGAATTGGATTGGCAGGTGTCAGGAACATTGAAGCGCCCAAGGCACTTGGTGAGATGTCAGTGGAAGATGTGGTCCAGCGGTCAACGGGGTCCCGAGGTGGTACAATTCTCAAAGTACCGAGGGTTGAAGCGGCAATGCAGACGTGGCAGACGCCAAATAGCAATCATATTGATTACCTGTTCAAGAGCGCCTTTGAAGGCAAGGTCGAGGTCGGATGGAACTATTCTCGCATCAGCTACATACGCGGCATGTGGGCGAAGCACAACAAGTCGCTAGAAGAGACATGGGGCCGACAGCTGCCCCTTACAGCAGTCAAGATTACCGGAGTACCGGAAGCTGAAGAAGAACAGCGAGAAGGTGGCGAGCAGCAGAAGATTACGGCCGAGGTCAATGTGCCACAGTCCAAGTATGAGTATCTCGCTCTGGAGCCTCCCATCATTGAGACGCCACAGCTGCGAGACATGGGCGAGGCCACGCCGCCGTTGGAATGGATTGGCCTGCACAGAGAAAGACTGCCGAACTTGACTCATCAGATTGTTATTGTGTCGCTATTAGAATTGGCAGGAGAGGTGGAAGATGCATATTCGCGGATTTTGGGATCGTCCTAGAGGCGCCGGCGTGAGTCACCCGAGGGCTGAGGAGCTTAATATAAGCAAAGGAGTATGGCGTAACAATCCTGTTTCTTTTCTTCTTTCCGTTCTTGTTTTTTCCGATTCAAAATTTGGCCGGCGAGTGACTAGTTGATATGATAGAATGAGGAGACTCTATATATAACAATACCGAACCATGATTGAAGTGAGTCAATGGCCAACATGTGGCCAACATGTGGCTGAGACAGTTGACCTATGAAGAAGCTCTAGAGAGCTCAAGCTACAGGGACTTGGCATTGCCCAAAATCGCCTGTGGTTAAAGTACTTGCGGTACGTACCGCGACATGGACTGCAAGGCAGTTTAGGCGGCGTGAGCAAGCGGCCAATCAGCGAGGCACGGCTGACAGCATGAGCGTGAAGATGCAGAAGCCCACTTTGCCCCTCCTTCAGAGCTCCATTTTTGCTGCGGATCAATCGCAGCAAGTTTTTCTTCTTCTGGCCGTATTGAGCAACTTGACGAAATATGCGATGACAAAGCTGAAGATTGCGGGTGGCGCTGGTTGCAAATGCTGCTGCTGGCGGTACGGTGAGGAGTTCAAGTTGTCTTGCGCTGTTCTGTCTGATGGCAGCGAGAAGCTTCAAAAGGTAGCTGCTACAAGCTGTGTTGAATACCATAGGTACTACAAGTACATCTCGAGCTGTGCTCGGCTCGGCTACGGATTTGGTGCTTCGTATGAGGCCAGCAATTGCCACAGTAACAGCATCAAATAAAGACCACAATGCATCTCCTCGTACAGCGTACATGTACTCGGACATGCATCCAGCCTCTTGATAAGCATTGGGCCCGTGCCGCCGCCCAGCTTCCACTTCCAGCCATGGCAAATCGAACGACGGGCTTTAGGTTGTATCGCCGTGAGGGCTTCTTGCCCTCCACTCTGAGTGGCAGCTCCAGAAAAAAAGAAAAAAAAGCCAGTCTCTGCCAGAAGAATTTTATTGCCCAGCAGCTACTAGCGGCCCCAGCTCGTCTCAGAAGCTGCTAGGCCTAGCCCTCTTCGAGCAGTTCTGGCCAGTCACAGCTGCTGAACAATGACGCCGGCGCCATCGTCTCGGCGTTAGCAGGGCTGGCTCCCAGTGAATGTGCCCACTAATACACTCCAATCGTTCCATCGCCTGGTGGTGCATGGCCCTCTCTGCAGACCGTCCCCCACTGCAATGGCACTGATGGCAGCGAAAAAACTCGGCATGCCATGCAATTTCTTGCGCGTGCCACCTGCATTGCGCACTGGATTCTGTATTTTTTGCATTTTCCGGGCCCTGTTTTCACTGCCCAGTGGATTCGCAGCTGTCCAGTCAAAGGGCCGCTAGAGCTGGCCCAACTCAAAGCTGCCCGTGCTAGTCATGGCTCAACCTAAACCTTGTGCGTCGCCCAAGCCTGCCTCTCCGCCCACCACCCGATTTTCGTGGGTTTTTTTCGTCCCCTCCGTGCCATAAAAATCGCCCAGCCCACCCTCTCTCCCTCTCTTTCCCCATCAAAAAATTCTGATAGAGCAGACAGTGAACCCGTATTCGCTGTTTTCTCTTCATAATTTTTTTTGTGTCCCTTGAGCACAGAGCCTTGTGCTTACGCAGCAGTTAGCAGCACTTTAGCCACCTGAGCATAAAGCGCGGGGTCAAATTCTTCAACCCCGCTTTGCTCTTTTTTCGTTTTTCTCTTCCTACACCAACAAAACCACACAGAAGTTTTCAGGCAGGCTCCGAGCCGCAATACCGTCAAGATGGTGAAGTAAGTTGTTTCCCGTGCTTCACACTATCGGCTCTGAGCTTCACCATCCTCGTCTTGTATCCCTTCTTGCTTTATTCTAGTATAGCTCCGGCGGGGGCTGTGATGCTTCTCTTGTTGCTTCGTCTTCAGGTGCTCGCCTCTATGCCGCTGCTGCCGAAAATTTTTCTTCATTTTTTTTTACCCTTCACCTGCTCTCTCTCATTGCCGTGTCTAGCTGGGATGGGAGCTTCTATTAGAGTGACGTTGCTAACCGACGCCTTCATCATGATAGCTTCACAGTTGACGAGATCCGGGCGTTGATGGACAAGCCCACCAATGTCCGAAACATGTCCGTCATTGCCCACGTCGATCACGGCAAGTCTACCCTGACCGACTCCCTGTTGGCCAAGGCTGGTATCATTTCCACTGCCAAGGCTGGTGACGCCCGAGCAACAGATACTCGTGCCGACGAGCAGGAGCGTGGTATTACCATCAAGTCCACTGCCATCTCTCTGTACGGTCAGCTCGAGGATGAGGAGGATATCAAGGACATTGTCGGCCAGAAGACCGACGGCCGTGATTTCTTGATCAACCTGATTGACTCCCCCGGTCACGTTGATTTCTCATCCGAAGTCACTGCTGCCCTCCGTGTCACTGACGGTGCCCTTGTCGTCGTCGACACCGTCGAGGGTGTCTGCGTCCAGACCGAGACTGTGCTGCGACAGGCCCTTGGTGAGCGCATCAAGCCCGTTGTCATCATCAACAAGGTCGACCGTGCTCTTCTCGAGCTTCAGGTCTCCAAGGAGGATCTGTACCAGTCCTTCTCTCGTACCATCGAGTCCGTCAACGTCATCATCTCCACCTACCTCGACAAGTCCCTCGGTGACCTCCAGGTCTACCCCGAGAAGGGTACCATTGCCTTCGGTTCCGGTCTGCACGGCTGGGCTTTCACAGTCCGCCAGTTCGCCATCCGATACGCCAAGAAGTTTGGTGTTGACAAGAACAAGATGATGGAGCGTCTCTGGGGTGACAACTACTTCAACCCCGCCACCAAGAAGTGGACCAAGAACGGTACCTATGAGGGCAAGCAGCTTGAGCGTGCTTTCAACCAGTTCATCCTGGACCCCATCTTCAAGATCTTCTCTGCCGTCATGAACTTCAAGAACGACGAGATCGCCACCCTGCTTGACAAGCTCCAGCTCAAGCTTACCCCTGAGGACCGCTCCAAGGAGGGCAAGCAGCTGCTCAAGGCCGTCATGCGCACTTTCCTGCCCGCTGCCGACTCCCTGCTGGAGATGATGATCCTCCACCTTCCTTCTCCCGTCACTGCCCAGCGCTACCGTGTTGAGACCCTGTACGAGGGTCCCATGGACGACGAGGCTGCCATTGGTATCCGTGACTGTGACCCCAAGGGTCCCCTCATGCTCTACGTCTCCAAGATGGTTCCCACCTCCGACAAGGGCCGATTCTACGCCTTCGGTCGTGTTTTCTCCGGTGTTGTCCGCTCCGGTCTCAAGGTCCGCATCCAGGGCCCCAACTACACCCCTGGCAAGAAGGATGATCTCTTCGTCAAGGCTATCCAGCGTACCGTCCTGATGATGGGTGGCAAGGTCGAGCCCATTGACGACATGCCTGCCGGTAACATTGTCGGTCTGGTCGGTATCGATCAGTTCTTGCTCAAGTCTGGTACCCTGACCACCAGCGAGACTGCCCACAACCTCAAGGTCATGAAGTTCTCCGTCTCCCCCGTCGTCCGACGTTCCGTCCAGGTCAAGAACGCCCAGGATCTCCCCAAGCTGGTTGAGGGTCTCAAGCGTCTGTCCAAGTCCGACCCTTGCGTTCTTACCTACACTTCCGAGACTGGTGAGCATGTCGTTGCCGGTGCCGGTGAGCTCCACCTCGAGATTTGCTTGAACGATCTCGAAAATGACCACGCTGGTGTTCCCCTCATCATCTCCGACCCCGTCGTCCAGTACCGTGAGACTGTCCAGGGCAAGTCTAGCATCACTGCTCTGTCCAAGTCCCCCAACAAGCACAACCGTCTGTACATGGTTGCTGAGCCCATCGACGAGGAGCTTTCCCTGGCCATTGAGGCCGGCAAGGTCAGCCCCCGTGACGATTTCAAGGCTCGTGCCCGTGTCCTGGCTGACGACTTCGGTTGGGATGTCACCGACGCTCGTAAGATCTGGACCTTCGGTCCCGATGGCAACGGTGCCAACTTGCTGGTTGACCAGACCAAGGCCGTCCAGTACCTCAACGAAATCAAGGACTCCGTCGTCTCTGGTTTCCAGTGGGCTTCCCGTGAGGGTCCCGTTGCTGAGGAGCCCATGCGTTCCATCCGCTTCAACATCCTTGATGTTACTCTGCACGCTGATGCTATCCACCGTGGTGGTGGCCAGATCATCCCCACTGCTCGTCGTGTCCTGTACGCCTCTGCTCTGCTGGCTGAGCCTGCTCTGCTTGAGCCCGTCTTCCTGGTCGAGATTCAGGTCCCTGAGCAGGCCATGGGTGGTGTCTACGGTGTCCTGACCCGCCGTCGTGGTCACGTCTTCAACGAGGAGCAGCGTCCTGGTACTCCTCTCTTCAACATCAAGGCCTACCTGCCCGTCCTTGAGTCCTTCGGCTTCAACGGTGACCTGCGTCAGGCCACCTCCGGCCAGGCCTTCCCCCAGTCTGTCTTCTCTCACTGGCAGGTCCTGCCCGGTGGCTCTCCTCTTGATGCCACCTCCAAGGTCGGTGCCATTGTCACCGAGATGCGTAAGCGCAAGGGTATCAAGGTCGAGGTTCCCGGTGTCGAGAACGTAAGTTGCAAATCACTCTATTCACCACTCTCAATGCATGATGCTAATGTTTCTTCTAGTACTATGACAAGCTGTAAACGGCTCCCTTATCTGCTGATAGAACTACCATTCGTGTCAAAATGGGCACAATGTGTCAACCGGCTTCTAGCGAAAGTTGAAGGCCACTACTTCTATACTAAGAGGCATGCCGCCTCACTGATTTAGGAAGTAGATGAGAAATTTACGGTTGAATGACAAAGAAAAAAAATACCATCCCGTTAAAGAAAAAAAAGGGAATACGTGTGGATACTAGGTTGAGGCCATAATCAAGGGAAGCTTCACTAGGCAGCTTTTCATGCATGTAGTTGTGCGCCGGTGGAGTTGAATGAATGAAATTTATGAATGTTAAAAAAAAAAAAAAAAGAAGACTCGATGATTGAAGTGCGTGTTTGTGATATCTGTAACATTGTTTTTAGTCTTATATGGACTTCAGTATTTCTTACTCTTTGGGATATGAATCCTCTGGTTAAATAGGGTAGATCGAGGCTACTGTCGAGGGATGACTTTTCGACCAGAGAGCTTCTCAAGAAAGGTGTACAACAGTATTGCATACAATATTGATAATGATATTATTAATGATGATGATGATGGCGATGGTGGTAATGGTGATAACTGTAAATGCAACAAGCCTATGCATCAGTTACTTGCTCACTAAACAAAAGCTATAGATAGATCGATCTCTGCATCAAGATCATCAATCAATCTATCAAAAAGCTCCAGCGCTGCCGAGCCGACGAGTCCCCACTTAACAAGCCACTGAACGGGACCTTCCTTCCGCCATCGTCAGGCCCAGCCTTGCCTTGCAAGTCCCCCGTAGCTCCAGCCAACTCGAAAATCTGACATTCAACAACGTCCTTTTCCTTTCGCTCGGACCAACATAAAAAAAAAAGAGGCCCTTTAGCTGCCTTTTCTTATCTTTTCTTTTTCTACTACTTATGACCGAGCTTATACGTTCCAATTACTCATCTACGATATCGTCCATGCAGCACTAATCACGACTTTTCTCCTCGTTCCTTTTTTCCCCAGATCCCGAGCCATGCTGTTCCCGGAGGAGGATGCGCCGCAGCTCAAGACATGGATTGTCAAGCGCATTGAGAACACGTTCGTCTACCCACAGACAGGAGCTCGCGCGCCGCTACTCCCGCAGTGTGTCGTTTTCTTCTGTCCCCCATTGCTGACCTCCTTTTCCTTGTGCAGATCAGATGCTGATTCCGACGTTCTCGCCGACTATGTCATTGCTCTGCTAAAACACGACGGCGACGCCGCATCGGTGCGGGCGCTTTGCGAAGCTGAGATTCCCGATTTTCTGACTGAAGGTCCGTTGGAGTTGCTATGAGAGACGCGCTGGAGCTATGCCAGGCGCAGGAAATAAAAGGAAATGGCGTGCTGACTGCTTGATTCTCGCGAGCTACAGATCCAAAGACTTTCCTGGATGATGTCTTCCAAGCGATTGCATACAAGTCATATCGACCAGGCGCTCCGTCGCCCCCAAAGCCTACCACCAGTGGTGCCATTGGCGTCGCAGCTCGACCTCTCCCAAGTGCACAGGGCGTCCAAAGCAGCGGGCCACACCATACCGGCTCAAGAAAACGAGGATTTCATGATGACGGCGAACACGATGGGCCAGCTTCGCATGGCAGGAGCCACAAGCAGCCTCGACGGGGCTCGAATCACGGAAGAATGGACGACTCGCTGATGGGTGGCCAGCAAGGGAGCTACGTTTCCGTAGACTCGATGCCAGGCATGTCACATTTCGATCCCAGGGGTGCTCTTGAAGCAATTATGCAGATGCAAGCTATGGGTATTCCTTACCCTGGCATGGCCGAGTTCATGGCTCAGATGCCTCATGGCGGTGGAAGGACCTCACAACGGCGGAGAGGGCGCTGTCGAGATTTTGATACCAAAGGATATTGTTCTCGTGGGAATCAGTGCATGTATGACCATGGGAACTCTTCCATCTATGTCCCCAATATGTTATCTCAAATCGAAGGTACTTATCCCGTTATCCCAAGATTTTCCGCCGGCAAGAATTCAAGGAGTATCCGGCTAACTCGCGCTCTTTCCAACTTTCTAGAGTATGATCCTAATAATGCTGTACTGAGCTTATCGGCACTCGCAGCAAATCCTTACCAGTTCCCTATGGAGACAAAGGGCCGTGGTCGAGGCCGTGGCGGACGTGGCGGCAAGAAAGGCGGCGCCAGAGCCTCCTTTTCAGCAGAGGGCCCAGTTCATGACCGTTCCAAGAGCACCATTGTTGTGGAAAATATCCCCGAGGAGAATTTTAATGAAGATGAGGTCCGCGCTTTCTTTTCGCAGTTTGGCGAGATTGTTGAAGTCTCCATGCAGCCATACAAGCACTTGGCAATTGTGAAATATGACAAGTGGGCGTCAGCAAACGCGGCGTATCGATCACCAAAAGTTATTTTTGACAACAGATTTGTTAAGGTATTCTGGTACAAAGATGATGACGCCAAGTCATCGTCAAAGCATGGCGATAGTGGGCCATCCAAAATCAACGGCGATGGACCATCTGCTCCAGCCGAAGCTGAGCCTGAAATTGATATGGAAGAGTTTCAACGGAGGCAGGAAGAGGCTCAAAAGCAGCATCAAGACAAGGAAACTAAGCGAACAGAGTTGGAACGGCAGCGTCAAGAGTTGGAGAAACAGCAGCAAGAGCTTCTGGCAAAACACAGAGAAGAGAGCGAGAGACTGAAGGCGAGATTAGGCGAGAAAAGCGGCGATGCTAAAGCTCCAGGGTCCTCATCATCAACCGATACTCTCCGTGCTCAATTAGCAGCATTAGAACAGGAAGCCAAGATTCTAGGTATCGACCCCAATATGGCTGATGATGGTGGAAGCAGCTACAGCTCAAGAGGCCGAGGATACATGGGACGTGGTGGACGCGGTAGTGACCGAGGTTTTGCGCCACGAGGCCGCGGCTCCTTCAGGGGCCAAGCCGGCAGACATGCTGCATATGCCCAGTACTCACTGGATAACCGGCCGCGAAAGTTGGCTGTCACTGGCGTAGACTTTACTCCTGCTGACAAGGATGAGTTGCTTCGACATTTCCTCTTGGTAAGTAAACATGAATGCTTTCTGAAAAGTACATGTCTGTTTTTAAAGGAGCTCATTTGTTAACCTCTATTCTTTTTGTTTTACAGAACTTGGGTGAATTTGAATCTGTAGAGACTACTCCCACAGTCACAAACGTATCTTTCCAAGATCGTAAAACGGCCGAAAAATTCTATTACAGCCTACACGGCAAAGAATTACCCGGAGTCGAAGGAACGCTCGATCTCTCCTGGGTAAATACACCTTTGCCACCTGTAGGAGCCTCTAAGAAGATTGAAGACGTTGGTGATGGCGATGCCATGGCTGGAATGAATGACGATGAGGAAGAAGGTGAGGTGGTTGAAGACTTGCCTGAGAAGCATATGCAGGGGCGACAAGTTGACATGGACTATGATGTTGGGGATGATGAGGGCTGGGCTGAATGAAGGTTGAAGAAGGAATGGAAGTAGATCTAGGGAAGAGGTGTATAGATACCTATGGATGCGAGAGAGACCTGGTACAGAATGTATACAATACATACAAATATATATACACGGATGTGTATATCCAACATCTTCATGAAGCCTTGTTTAAATATTCAGAAGTGAAACAGAATGAATACATTACGTGAATGGGCAACGAAGAAAAATCCAGCTAATTTTTTGAACTAAAGATTTACATCACGTTTATGGTGGTTAAAAGACGAGTCTTTTCACTTTTGGGGAATGCAAAGGGGAAAAATAATTTGCGGCTCTTAATATGCAATGCCGGCCGTAGTTTCTTCATTCATTGACACACTTCCAGCAACGGAAAGATACGGTATATAAACACACATATACATATATAGATGCGAAGTATGTATACACCACAATCTGCCTGTTCGCTCTGTGATGTCTTTTTTTCTCCATAGCGCTCCTGTAATGCTTCTCTCCTCCACGCTCTCCTCCTCTGAATATCTCTATCAATTTTCTTTTCTTTCTTTTTTTTTTTTTTTCCTTTCTTTGACTCATAACAAAAACAAACGCAAAAGAAAAACAAAGACCAAAAAGAAAAAAAAAGAAAAAAACTTGTCCGCAGGCGGGGGTATCGTTGAGATATAATATATGCAATTCCAATGTTAGAACCGGGCTCTTCCATGCCTTTTTGTCTTTTTTGTTTTACCAATATAAATGTTTTTCGCGTTCCGTTCCCGTTGCGCCCACCGCCCCGGGAAATAATAAAAAGTTATCCCCATTCTCATAAAAGATTTGGCCTTCGGTGTATGCTTTTTGTTGAAAAAGACACCGACTCCGCCTTCTGTGCAAAGTAAACGCCGCTTTTCTTCGGTCATCTGCGCCGAGATATGAAGATAGAAAAAGAAAAGAAAGTAGTTGCAAAGGTAAAGGGGTAATTAAAGTCATAATGAAAATAATACCCAAATCTGCAAAATGGCCCAATTTGTCAGGGCCATTTTGTTTTCGCTTCCTGAGCGAAGTGTACGAAACGGAATTAGGCCGTGCCATTGACAGGGACGGCAGCGTCCTTGACTTGAAGGCCTTCAAGGAAACCAAAGATGGTGTTGTTTTCGCGGAAATCATTGTTAACTATACAGATCTTGGTTAGTCTATTGGAAATATAAAGAGGGGGAGAAAACCAGCTATGAATGGCAACTCACCAATGTTTACAAGATACCACTCGTTCATGATTCCCTCGATAAGCGCTCGGCTGGGGGTGTTGGCATCGAAGCAGTGAGCCCAGTCGACACCCAGTCGGAAAGCCTCATCTCTCCAGGCTAAGAAGCTGATCGATTCCACAATGGTAGGCTGCACAATCTCTTTGCCTGGGAAAACACCCCAGGTGACAGCGTTGGGACCGTCTGAGGGTGCATTGGACTTCAGTTCACCGTTTTTGGTCACGGCGTAGTAAGTCAAGTTGGGGAAGTCATCAAGACGGCTAATCATCTCATCCAGGAGATAGGGTGGAATAAGCAATTCCAGGTAGGCCTTTTGGTACACATAGCCGTTTGAAGGTCCCCAGCCGTGAACCGGGTGGTTGGACTTGGCACCGTCAACGGCGGGCTGTGAGTTGATGGTCAAAATGCCTCGCTTATTGAGGGCCACCAGGTCATCTTTGATGGGATCTGCTTCGGCAGCAAGGGCAGATTCACTCCATGGCAGGGTTTCAATCTTCTTCTCCAGATACTGGACAAAGGTGTCGGCTATGTCCTGGACACAAGTGGGCTCGCCCCATTTCTTACGGTTTGCCTCGTTTGTGCCGGTCAAACCAATACCATAGGCATCAAGCTCACCAAAAGCGGGAGAGCGGGAGTCACCCCATCGACCGTTGGGGAACTCGTCCCAGTCCTGGGTGCGAATGACATAGGACTTGTTGCGGTTACGCCAGAAAATGGGGCGCACATCCTCTTCGCGCCGGCCAAAGCCCTTGGACTGCTTCCAGGGGAGAGCTTGCTTCAGAGGACGCTCCGCTGAAGGGGTCCAGTCAAGCTCATCTAGAACCATACGGGTCGCTTGGGCAAGGTTCATGGTGTAGAAGTGGAGATGGTGAATTCCACCGGCAAGAAGCTTTCTGCACAAATCGGCAACCAGCGTCTTACCAATTTCACGCACGGCCACATCGTCATTCTTAACCGGCTCAAGCAAGGTCATCCACTCTGGAGGCACTCTGCATTGCATGTGTTTAGCACGACGAAGGAAGCTAGCATAGGTGGCAATGGGCATGATTCCAGGCAAGATGGGAACGGTGATGCCTCGCTCGCGGACTTTGCCGACCCATCGGAGGAAGTTGTCGGCGTCGTAGAACATCTGAGTAACGATGAAGCCAGCACCCATGTCCACTTTCTCCTTGAGATGATCTAGAAGCTGATCCTCATCTTTATTGTCATCACATCCCTCAGGATAACCGGCAACTCCGATATCGAAATGGTCGCCATATGTATCGCGGATATGCTTGACGAGATCGCGAGCATACCGAAAGTTTCCGTCGGCAGCAGTCCATGTGGTCTGATCACGGGGAGGGTCGCCACGGAGGGCGAGAATATTGGTACATCCGGCCTTGTACGCCTTTTGCAGGGCATCGTTAACCTTGTCAAGTCCCATGTCAGTACAGGTGAGGTGCATGCACGTCTCCAGGCCGTAGACAGCCTGGGCCTGAACAACCATCTCGCAGGTCAGCTCCGCAATACCACCGCCAGCGCCCCATGTGATGTCGATAAACTTGGGTCCAAAGTTGTTCATGCGGTCCATACGGTCATAGAGATTCTGGACACCCTGGGCGGTTTTGGGCGGGAAATACTCGAAGGAGAAGGACGGGGCCTTCGTCTTCTCCGTATCGGCGACCAAGCTTTTGATATGCATGTTGGGCGATGCAAACGTGAACAATAGGAGGGAAGAAGAGGGTATTAGAAAGTGTTAAAGATCGAATACAGGAGAATCAATGTATTTGCTCATGCATAAAAGTCTCTGCTGCTATCGAGAGTGAAGGGTGAGCGGGTGAGCGGCCAGACGAGTATGATGCATTACCAAGAAACCAGCATTACTCACCACAAAATGGAAGACGGCTGAAGGGCGACAAACAGAGGGACGGAGGGATTTGAAAAGCGCCCCAAGTAAAGATAGAACCAACAAACACTGCTGCCAGATGCAAATTCAAAGAGACAACTGGCCTTCGGCGTCGCAGCGGTTTTCGCAAGCCAGGCCAAAATCGACCAACGTCGCCGACAGCCCGCCGAGTGCGGATCGCAATTCTGTGGAGAAGCTCGAGCGACTCGGCCGCCGAGGATCTGTGGAGGCAGCAAATGGAAGAGGCCTGGGAGGTGGAAGGGAAGAAGAATAGCGAGCGCAATTGGGGTGTGCCGTATGGGAATCTGCGAATATCGCAGGGGAGAGCAAAGAGGGGGGAGTCACGATTAAAAGTAGAAAAGGCGTCCCAAACAATACATGACGGAAATTTGTCTGCGGGACACTTGAATGACAGATGCGTAGCGGTTCTCCGAATTATGGAGGGGTTGTGATTGGGCCAGTGGCGGTGGGGGTACCAGAGACAAGGCAGGTACCTGCTCCATACCGGGATTCCCGCCTTTTTTTGCAGTTGATTAGAAGGTACCTTGGGTTCTATGAGAGAAAAGCCACGCTGGGTTGTATCTGCATATCACCAGGTGAGGATTCATATGCTACCTAGTAGGTGCTCAGCTATTCTCGACTCAGGTAACCAACGGCAACAAGCAAGACACGGGCCGCAAAAGCGCAGAGCGAGACAGGGCGGTTGCGCATGAATGTAAGACGTGCTCATGCAAGAATACCTGCTTGCTGGGGATCCAGTCTCTACGCAGCCTTCACGTGTGAAATGGTGCATATACGGGGCCTGGAGTGGGTTACAATTGATTGTTTGGCACGGAAGGCCGCAGATGTTTGTAACCCGTAAGTATGCTGTAGCAATGAAACGAGACACAAGCAGGATGCGTGCATAAAAAGTAAGCATTGAATATATCCCTGCCGACAGCCTAACAATAGTCTGTTTTTTTGTATCTCTCTGTTTCTGAGAAGCTGTTCCAAGGAACTGATATTGCCAGTATTTATTACCAGATGCCATTACATACTTGCACTAGTACTACTATCTGACTATAACAAGATATACCTATGTCCAATGCGACAGGACATCATACAATCCACCGCGTCTCATGAGGAAATGGCATCTCAAGCTATCATATGCCCCGACCGGACAGTTAATCGTTACAGTATCAGATGCCACGATCAATGTGTTGTATGCATGTGCCACCTGTACCGTATATTCTTAGCCTGTGCTTCACCAATTACATGTGCCTGTGAGCCTTCATTGTGCTCCATTATACCCCTCCCCCACCGTCTTAAAAAGTCGCAACGCGCGGAGAGTACCGGGTACATTAGATGTACTCCGTCTGACCGCATCTATTTGACGCTATAGCGCCCCGGCGCCGTGTTGAAAGCACAAGCTCATGTACTCCATACTGTGCCTGGCAGTCTCCCGCCATGATACCTACTGTAGGTGAGATGCGCTCAACGTCAACCTACAGTGAGAGCCGGGATGATGTCAGTGCTCAACTTGTCAGATTTTAAGGTAAATTAAAAGCATAGCATCTTGGACGCTATTAAGCCTTCATATCCTACGAGGAAAATGAACAAAGATGATGCAGGTATTATCATACATGTAGACGGCGTGCAATAGGCATTTGATCTCTACATTTCACAAACAGTCAGCCATCTCCCTAGGCCCTCCATGCTGGTAGGTGTTAGAAGGGGCAGCTCCTCCTGTGTACCGCCAAATCAATCCTTTTGGCGGCGGCCCATGCACAACATCCAGCGGTGAGATAGTAATACGGAGTACAGGCACCAGGCACCAGGCAACACACGGCGCACCGAAATCCGCCGACCAAATTCACCGAATAGCCCTCTGCGCTAACTTCGGTGGCCATTCGGGACTCTATACGGGTAACATTGTCTATAGCACGGTAGGACGATGGAATCATGAATTTGATATAGCATGGTTCAATATGCAAGGTCGTGTCACATCAGTTGAGAGTTATGCCTATGTTATGGATGGAAGAAGGCACTACGGCATGCTGAGTGTGCAAGAGGTTCAAGCCAGTTGGGATACCCTCCTCAGTCTCAACTGCCATGCCCCAGAATAGACACATACATGTGTCATTATTTGGTGGAGAAGCTAGCTAGCAGAGAAAGGGCACAGTTAGTGTAGAGCAGTCTCTCAATCCAATGCTTTTTTTCAGTGCTAACGGTCTTGCCTTTCTCATTCGGTGCCATTAGTTGTTATTTTCTAGTAATATCCCGATCAAAGATGGGCTACCGCCGCTCATGCAGCACTTAAACCCCACCTCTCATCCATCAGGATCATACATATCGCCGCATAACATGAGATAGTCTGGAGATATGCGTAGTAAACTTCAAAATGTTGAGAAGAGCTTACCGTGGTGCTATTTTACGTATCGCTTCCAATAGCCTGTTGTTGATGGTGATTTGGGACACTATTTTGATTGATTTGCGCATTGTCCCAAATGTTAAAACGGCGATGATACTACTTACACCCCAGCCATCTGGAGTTCCCTGGCTCTACTGCTCACGAATCTGCAAACATGATATATTTATAGGTTTTCTTCTTCTTCTTCTTTTTTTTCATATCAATCTAGCGAACTATTTCTAAAAATACACAATCATTCTCATCCTGTAATGTGAAATTGTTGCATCTAGCTTCCAACTATAGGGTATCATCCAGTCATTTTGATGCCAAACAGCCGTCTGGAATATGAACTTTTGTCTTCCATCTTTCCGTATTCCTTTAGCCTCAGATAAGTTCAAGTGAATTAATGTAAAGGATAAATCCAATGAGACTAATTGAATAGGCTAGAACGACTAGAATGGTGGAAAGAGATTGATGCATGGTTGTAGGCTTGACGCCTTTACCCATCGGCTCTTTACATAAACGCGGCAAGTCCTCTTTTCTTACGTGCCGCCCTAAAGCCTTTTCAATCCTAGGATGTACATGGATGGTGAGGATTTAAACAACATCTTTTAAACCAAAGCGTACTTGCGCAGGCAAAGGTCAGATTGCCAGACAAATCCCGCTACGAAAAAGCTCCTTTTCGAACATAGCGCAGCAATATTCGAGGCTGCGAATAATGCGGGAAGCTATAACGAATTCATGAATATGATTCGCTGGTTTGCTCTTATCCCCAACGATAATCGGTATGAGTTGCAAGGTTCCGCCAGAATGCAGACCATATTTCTTCTAAGCGCGCGAATGAAGGACGGGCAACAACCTGAGAGAAGCCGGCAAAAGTCGAAGCTCGAGCCAGCACTAAACACCACATCTATCGCCAGCGATTTTAGTTAATTTTCTATGAACCTATACCGGCACTATTTTCCCACTTGTTAAGTCTTGTTAACATCTTATCGTTCAAAAGCACTTCATCACAGATATGGCGTCTTTCACAATGACATTGGAATAGCTTTGATCGAGGGTCCACGGCATCATCGACGACACAACAATAAATGATCTTTGGATGAAACCTGCACCTATCCCTGGAAGCCAAGCGTTTAAAGCATAAAAATAGCAGAGGGGCTCCATCACGGGAAATCTGACAATGGGTCAACCCCTCCGGATAAATGACAATGCGCATATGCTGGACTGCAAGGCGAGCGGTTTGATTGCAGCGATTGTTGTTAGGTCGCTATTAATTAACCGTGGAGAAACGATGATAAATAGCTGACAGCTCTGTAAATGGATGCTGGCTATACCTCTCGGTGATAGGCTTCTTTGGCCTCCTAATAGGACAAATGAAGCTCTCAGCATGTCTCTGTCCGGTGGTGCTGGCGGCGGCCAGCCAAGCCACCTCATCAAGCCAGCCGTTATACAAGAATCCTCACGCTTCTATCGATGATAGAGTGTCTGATCTGCTCAAGCGCATGTCCGTGCAGGAAAAGATGGCCCAGTTGATTCAAGGCGACATGTCCAACTATCTCGATCTCACTTATGGCACTTATAACAAATCGGGACTTGTGTGGAATATGGAGTACCGAGCCAACTCGGTCTGGACTGGCTACTATACCAACATGACGACGGTGAAGAAGGCTGCTCAATTGGCACAAGAATACCTGCTCAAGGAAACTAAACTGGGTCAGAATTCACAATGATGGCACTTGTTTGATCTACTCGCCAACTAATACCATCTAGGCATTCCGACGTTTGTTCAGAGCGAAGGCCTTCATGGGTTCTTGGGCCTGAATGCCACGATTTTCAACTCTCCCATTGGCATAGGATGCTCGTTCAATCCCAGCCTCGTAGAGACAATGGCCAACGCCATTGCGACGGAAAGTCTATCTCTCGGAGTCAACCAGCTGTTCGCACCGCTGGCTGACCTTGCTCGAGAGTTGAGATATGGCCGAGTAGAGGAATGTTTTAGCGAAGATTCCTACCTGTACGCTTTTAATTCTGATTCTTCATATTCCACGGTAGTCATACGCTGACGCTTCCCAAAAGGGCGGGAGAAATGGCATACAGTTATGCTAAGGGGCTCCAAGAAAAAGGTGTCTCAGCGACGGTTAAGCATTTTGTACGTCACCGTCTACTTCTGTTGGTCTGAAGCACATTCAGCTGACAAGTTTCCACGTTTTACTTTTAACAGGCTGCTTTTGCGTCACCCGAACAAGGCATCAATACTTCTCCAGTGCACGGAGGCGAACGCGAGCTACGATCCCTGTATCTTCCACCGTTCAAAAGAGCCATCATTGACAGCGGCGCTACTTCAATCATGTCCTCCTACAATTCTTACGACGGCGTCCCCATGGTTGCAAACTCAGCGGTGCTCACCGACATTCTTCGCGGCGAATGGGGCTATGAGTATTTCGTAACCTCCGATGCTGGTGGCACTGCTCGGCTTTCCAATGCGTTTTACGTCTGCGGAGCTAAGGACAACGATTGTATCACGCTTGAGGTACGCAACAGGGAATGATATATCTATAAAATCCATGAAGAAAAAGCTAATTCTTTTTTAGGCTCTGCCTGCCGGTAACGATGTTGAGATGGGCGGTGGATATTACAGCTACCAATCTATCCCTGCCCTGGTTGAATCTGGTAAACTGAGCGAAAGTGTCTTGGATACTGCCGTTTCTCGCGTACTTCGCGCAAAGTTTAAGCTGGGTCTTTTCGAGAAGCCTTATACTGGCGTTGCTGATGACGACATTTTCAAGTATATTAATACTCCGGCGCATAAGAAGATTGCCCGTCAACTTGATTCTGAGAGCATTGTGCTCCTTGAGAACCACAATAATGTTCTGCCTCTGAAGAAGAACGCCAATGTTGCCGTCATTGGCCCCATGGCTCACGGTTACGTCAATGTAAGCAATATGCATAATATTTATCCTTTTTGTCAGGGTATTGTTCTAATCTAATTGACGTGCAGTACGGAGATTATGTGATTCACACTGCCATGACCCGAGGCGTCACTCCCCTTGACGGCATCAGTTCTGTCAGCACTGGCAAGGTCACTTATGCTCAGGGCTGCGAGCGCTGGTCCAACGACGAGTCCGGTTTTGACGAAGCCATTGCCGCTGCCAAAGACTCGGATGTTGCTGTCGTCGTCGTCGGTACGTGGTCGCGAGATCAGAATGAGCTCTGGTCAGGCTATAACGCGACAACTGGCGAGCACATCGACATCAGCGACTTCCACCTCGTCGGTGCCATGCCTCGCTTGGTTAAGGCTATTATCGAGACCGGAAAACCCACCGTCGTTGTCTATAGTTCCGGAAAGCCCATCACCGAGCCGTGGATATCAGAGGAGGCGTCTGCTCTTGTGCAGCAGTTCTACCAGTCCGAGCAGGGCGGATATGCCCTCGCAGATGTCTTGTACGGCAACGTTAACCCTTCGGGGAAGCTCTCCGTGAGCTTTCCCTATGATGTTGGCACTCTACCCATCTACTACGACTACCAAAACTCCGCGAGAAGTAACCCCAACCCCGGCCATATATATGAAAACGGTACCCTTGTCTTCGGCAGCACCTACGTATTCGAGAATCCCACTGCACTCTACGAATTCGGATACGGCCTCTCGTACAGCCAGTTCGAGTTCTCTGACATCTCAGTCTCCAAGTCTCACGTTTCCGCTTCCGATACTGTGACTGTTTCTGTGACGGTAACAAATAAGTCACAACGTGACGGAGCAGAGGTGGTTCAGCTCTACGTCAAAGATATGATTGCGTCTGTAGACGTGCCACGATACCGGCTCAAGGGCTTCCAAAAGGTCACTGTGAAGGCCGGGAAGTCTACGACGGTTAAGATTGGCCTCCCGGTTGAGGATTGGGGCCTATGGAACCGCCAGATGAAATACGTTGTTGAGCCTGGAGATTTCACTGTGCTTGTAGGTAACTCTAGTGAAAATTTCTTTGGAAACGTCACCGTGACTGTTTCATAAGATAAAATACTCAAAATAAATACATAGGAGTCAAGATAGAATGATATGTTTTAGAGAAACTTACATTTCACTCACTTAGATGGGTTTTTGAACAATCATCATCGTCAGATGGTCTGGTTATGGACCGTGTATTCGATAGGTTTTGCTGCAGACTGGTCGCCCTATAAGCAGGGGTATTTCAGTCGACGACGGGCTCCACGCATGAACACGATCAACATGCCGAAATAGTATAGCAATAAATGCAAAATCACACATCCAGAACTTTTTCTTCTCAATCACTGCTATCTAGTCTAAGGCTCAGCAACCGCTTGCAAAGAAACTGTGAATAGTGTTGGAGGCGTCTCGACGTAAGGGGGGCAGCAAATATTTCGAAAATATTGAGAAAGTAAATCCTGATATATTCCTGCGTTTTTGATTATGCTCTAAACAAATTCTATGATCTATCAGATCAGATAAGAAGGCTTCCATATTATTTGACTGGGTGCATTATCTTTGAATGCATAAACCTTGACAATATGGGATAAGATTTTACAGCCCCCTATTCGGCGTTGTAACCTGTGAATGAAGAGTATCCCATGGTAAATTGCAAAGAAAGCAAGAAGACAAAGATTTTGACAATAGTTTAGGGGGCCCATCTCCAGTCTTTCATTTTCATCTTCTCTATGAGAAAAGTCCAAACATTCCTCACATTATTTTCGCCGCCCTCGACATCTGCGCCATGCTGGACATCCTCGCTATGGTGGACACCTTTATCATTTTGGTCGACATCGCCATGTTGTCCATATTGGTCAAGTTGTCCATCTTGGTCGTCTTTTCTAACTTGGTCATCCTCAGTGTCCCGGATGTCTTCGTCATTCTGGCCATTTCCTCCATTCTGGCCGGCCACGCCCTCCTGTTTGCTGGTCTTGGACACCTTTCGGAATTTTCGCTCAGAAGCCCTTCTTTCAACCCGCACTTGGTGGCCCTTTTTGCGCTTCTTGCCTGACTTCTTTTTGCTTTTGGATGATTCCGATGGGGCCACATTCAAAGTGAGTAGAGTAAACGGGACATGCGCAACTGCATCAAAGAAGCGGAACACTGCTTTGTTCGCGGCAGTCATAGTTTCAGGCTTCATTCGGCCATCGCGAACAGCAATCATCAGTAGAGCTCTAAGAGCGAAGTGGGCGTTGTTTCCCGTAAATACCTATTCTGAAAACTAGAATCTTTTTTACAGTTTCCCATTATTCTGATTTATCAAAGTATCTTGACTTACTAAACAAATAAGGCACAGGAGCAAACAAACGCGGACATCTATCTACCGATGCCCTCCGATCTCATTAATTGTAACCATACGGTTCTTTTGATCCAGAAGAAAATAAAGCCGATGTCCCTGTGATAGCCTGATCGTGTGTGTTGGCTTTGGGGTAATCGGCTCATAATCCGACCCGCCAAGGTGCTCAGCGGCGGTCTTTGGATGAAGCCTGTCCTCTGTAATCAATCTTCGGAAATTGTGATATTTGTTCCAGGCTGTGTTGTCGGTCCTAACTAAATGTATATTGCTTTTCTTAAGTCCTGAATCCACCCATTTCCATTCCGGTTGCTTTGCGAGGTCGTTCAGCCGTTTGTCGATGGCTTCTTTTCGAGCGTTTCGTATAGCCTTGCCTTTCTCACTTAAATTTTCTCCCCTTGTTTCAAATGACAGCCATTTCTGTTCACTTTTTAGCTGAGCCAAATTCATCTCGTCTACAGGAAGAGTCCTCGCTCCTCCGGCGTGTTGGATCTTGGCAGCGCCCTCTAGGAGCTGATCTATCGTCTCCCCAATTGACTTGAAGAGCTTCCCTGCCCCCTTGGTTACACCGAGCCCAACAATGTTGCTGATGGCGCTGGAGAGAGCATCGTCCCCTACGCTCCCCCAAGTCGGTGCAGTTCCCGAAGCGGCGTCGTATATGAGGCCGGTTGCCACGTCGGAGGCGATGCCGGTGCCCACGAGAACTCCAACCTCCACCGCCAAGGATGCACCCTCTGTGAAGATGGCTGCCAAGATACTAACAACTAGGCCGACAATCAACTGAGCTATACTTCTCTTCTTGGCATTTCCGGAAGAATCACTCGAGTGGCCAGTCGGGTCCACCCGGTTGATGGGATCGCAGAGGCAGTAGGCGTAGGGGTTAATCTCTCCGGAAGTAAAGGGGCTCCAGGTATCAGGAGCATGGAAACGCATCAACACCGGGTTATAAACGCGGTATCCGTTGCCAAGATGATACCAGCCTGTGACAGGATCTCTCCACTGGCCGTTCCAAGCGATGGCTGATCCGGCCGCGCTGAAGCCGTAAGGCGTATACCACTGAGTGTGAACCTGGTTGGACTGTTTGGTGTCGAGCCATGCGATGGTCGACTGATGTGCGTCGGAAGCCCACAATGAAGTTGCTGTTTGTCCATTCTCCTGGAGGATTTGACCCCAGTAAGAGACTCCATCAGATACATAGTTGAGCTGAGCATCACCGCTGGTAGCAGCAATGAGGCTACTATCTCGATAATAGAGATGGTAGTCCGGCTTGCCAGGCACCTCCTGGCAGACCAATCTGGCCCGGGCATCGTAGTGGTACCGACTGAGAACTGTGGATCCGTCCGAACTCTTGACTGCTGTGAGGCTACCTATAGAATTGTATTCTAGTATTCGGCCTTGCTCATCTCGAGTTAAGCAGCCATTCTCGTCGTACTCGAGAGTGATCTCTCTAGGCTCAGCGGCGTGGGTGTTGGTAATATGAACGAGTTGGTCAGGGTCTCTATCGCTGTATGTGTAGACAGCAATGTTTTGGCTACCATCTTGGTACTTCGTAGTAACCGTTGCTATACCGCCTGTGGCAGTAAAGGAGTAGGTCTGACCCTGCAGCTGACGCCCGCGCTCATCGACAGGAAGTTGACTGCCCTTGCACTGGTAATCGAATAGTCGACCCATGTTATCATAATCAAAGGTCTCTTGCCGTAACGAGCTGCCACCGCCGTCTTTCAGTTCACGGGTCTTCAGCTTGTCTAATACATCGTAATCCTGAACTAGCTTGTACAGGGTTTTTGAATCTTGAATCAGAGTGCGCTCGCGCTCGCGACTAAAGTCATCGAAAACAATTTCTGTTCCAAGAGTCGAGCCCTTTTGACTGTCATGAACGCTGCTTTTCCATAGGCGACTTGCGTTGTCGTAGTCGAGTGTAACTGTGACCGGACCTTGCAATAACTGTTTGAGTCGGCCATGCTCATCATATTTAAGTTCTTGCGTTTGACTATGCGCGTTGGAATAATTCTGAAGTCTACCGTTCATAGAATATGTATGTAGTGTTGACAGAACTTTCCCCTGGCCGAAACGAATGTCTTCAGACTTTAGCAGGCCTGATGGCAGATACTTCAGGCTCTCGGTGCAATATGAATTTTTGCTTTGTATCAATTCACCCGTTTTTTTGTTATAATCAAAGGTTTGCTGATCATCGGGCATGGTTCTGTCCTTGAGCGCGTAGCCTAAAGCATCATCGTAGGCCATGGTGGCCTCAGTTTTCTTCGGCATCGTCATGCTAAAAGGTTTCGGCGAGCTTCCTTTATACGAAAAACCGGTGATGCGTCCTCCAGAGTGTTTTGTCTTCACGCGACTGAGCCCGTCATAGGACTGCTTGGCCGTGATGGTATCTTGGACCTGGATCGACACAGGCAGAGGGTCTGTGCTATGATCCGCATATTGCGTCGTTGCGATACTTCCATCTGGCCAAATTGTTTTGCTTACGCGGTCAAACCAATCATACGAAAATTGTGTCACGTAGTCTTTGCCATTCTTCTCTTGGACTCTCCGACCCAGACCGTCGTTGGTGTAGTCGACGCTGGTATAGAGGGTATTGTCCTTCTTGAGTAATGACGCCTGGACTATAACATCCCCAGGCTCCGCGCGGGTTCTCTTCTTTCCCAGACCTTCAATACTCTCTGTTTGTGTCTGAGAGATGGGATCTGTGTTAGCCAAAGTGACAACACCGTCGCTCTCAGATATTTTGCATATTTGCCCCCAACCGTCATATTCATAACGATAAGTGGTTGACTGCTTCTTGGGACCATTTGGAGCTCTCATCCAGTCGATCTCTACCATCTGGCTACACTGGCCGAGCGCATCGTAACTCTTCTGTTGCAATGTGCGAAAAGTGCCTTTGTAGGCGCCACTTGTATCCCAGTCGCCGTCGTCATCCTGCCTCTCTATTCGGCAGAGCCTCTGTAAGCCGTCGAAGATGTATCGAGTCTTTACTTGCTTCACGTCCGCCACCGTTTTAATGTATCCGGCCGTCTCGGATGGTATAGTATATTCGACTGTCTGTGTCGCCTCGTGAGAGGTCTCTGGAGAGACGGTCGTACGTTTAATGCGGCCGAGTTCATCATATTTAAAGCTGGTTTGGGTCCCCGCCGAGTCAACCTGGGTAATCACCAACCCATGATCCAAAGAGTAGCTTCTTTCCTCTTCCATCTGGCAGCCGTCAAAGCCCTGTTCTTTCACGGTTATAGCCAGAGTCTTTTCGGCTGTGTATCGGTGGGTCCAGCTCTGCACCGTGGCCTGGTTTCCGGATACCATCATTGTCGTCATCTTCTGCTGGAGACGACCATGGTCCCTCTCTGCGGGTTTGGAAACATAATCCCGTTCGATGCTGCTGATGGCTTTGTTGTCTTGGAAAATGGTTGATTTTTTAATGACGACAAACGAGGCTGCCGGTGCCCCGGATGCAGTAGGCATCTCGTGATATGTGTGACGAGTGCTTCTCACTGGAGCCGGATCAGGCTTCTTAGCTGGCGTAACAGTCTGCTCTTTCAGATACCGCTGGAAGAGATGTGGATCGGCTGGGCAGCTACCAGGCTCGCCTTTGGGTGGGTAGTAGACACGATCCGTCCGGACGCCATTTGTCTGGATATCCATGGTCGGGTTTCCCCATTCGTCAAAGGCGTGTTGAGTCTGCTCATCTCGAGATAGCTTCTGGTCCGAGAGATTACGATAATTGGTCACAACAATCTTCGGTAGCTGGAACTGAGGGGGCTGGTGCTCAAAAGCCACATTCTCTTTTGCGTGGTAGGTAATAGATTGTGTGATTTGCTTATTGTCCTTTACTTGTTGTGACTTGACGAGTAGATGGAATTTATTGTAGGTATATGTGGTCTCTTTGCCGCCGTCGGCGGACACAGTGGCATTGTATGTATAATCGTCTCTTACACGGTATAAGTTGTCTTGGCCACTCTTCCAACTGTCTATGCCACCGTAACCTAGGAAGTTGGTGGTCGAGTAGCTGTAGAGTGTTCGGATCGCGGGTTGCTGGTTACCCGGCTCTGCTATGTGTTGGATGACGTACGGAACGGCCGCTGAGGGACCCCCCTTTGGCACTTTATGGCCATCCGACTTGTATCTAACCGTCTCAACGAGGCCAGTAGGGCTTGTGATGGTGGAGAGACAGGTGTTTTTGCCATAGGTCTCATAGTCAAACACCCACTTGGGCCTAGGCTTATCCTTCAACGGCAGCCAAAATTCCGCCAGCTTGCCGCCCTTTACCAAGGCTGTAAAAGTGGCAGGTTCGGCGGATGTCGGGGCACGCACTATTTCAACGTTTGGATCTTCGTAATTAATCACCAAAAGTTGTTCTGAGCCTTCCAATATCTTTCGCAGTCTCGGTTGCCCTTTAACGGCAGTCCAATCCAGCTCCAGCTGACGACCATTTGGGGCATATAGCCTGGTAGGTACGCTGAAATCCCAGGTGTTGTCATGATTAGACAGGATCTCTACCCGGCCGTCTTTGTGGGCGATTTGAAAGTCAGAGTCCTTCTTCTTGAAGGTGAACTTTTGAAGCTTCAGATCTACGACGCTGAGATCGCCACCATCCGCAACGACTTGGTAGTGCTCGCCTGTAGAGAGGACGAGATTGCGAGGACTGGAATGATGATATTGGGAAAGGTTGAGCGACCACCCCTTGCCGAAGCCAATATCCTCAGCGTTTGAAGGGCTGAACTTTAGAACCAGCTTAAACGAGGTGCAGTTACGGACCTCGGCCGGAGTCTCATACAACGTAATGGAGGATGTAAACTGTCCGGTACGAGGGTCAACACCATCTTGGACGAAGCTACCGAAATTGAAACCCTGAGAATACAGGGTGTCTTTACCCGCCATGGCTGAAGAGGCAAAGCAATAATAATAATACTATGTAGATTGCAACGAAAGATAGCAAGCAATTTTCAGGAGTGAGAATTCGACTTATACCGAGAGGGCCCTTGTGATAATCGCAATCACAATGCCGTGGTCCTCCTTGATATAGGCCTCTCAAACGAAACCTGTCCCTGTACATCACCAACGATGGCTTTCAAAGATCCTCGGACCAGTCCTACCACACCTCCCATCAGCGCCTTTAACGTTTGCCCATGCAGCTGCAGATGGACAGCAAGTTAATTGCAACCGTCTCACAATGCGGGATTATGAAACTGGATTTACGACACAATGATGTGATGCTACGGCCTCGCATCGCAAAAAAACTGGCAGAGAATAGGCGAAACCCGATGCCAACAGGGTTCCTATGTGATAGGCACTACTGTCTATGGCCTATCACCACCAAGCTTTGCCAGAGTGCCATCAATGCAGCAGGGTATCGTGCAGGCGCCACAACGGGATGAGCGAAATTCGTCTGGGCTGAACATATCAGACTGGCATATGACAGGCCTCATACTTCATCACATTCGGCCGGTGGCAAAGCATCTGTAAGTTTGGTCGGCTGTTACCGCTGCGCCGCTCTCATCGCCGAGGCATTGGGAGCCAGCGGTGAGGGGTCACCACGCTCGTATTCAGGCATGGCTTACCGAGGACTCAAGACTTACCATCAACCTGCAGCTTTTGTGGCTTTCAAGAGGCGGGCTGAGGGATGCGGAGTGTTTGTGTTGGGAAGCAGGATGCGGATGTAACAGAAGAGAGACAAACAATAGTATATGCAGACAGGGGTAAGCGCCCACCGTTGAGAGATGCATGTAAGTCAAAGAGAGAGAGAGGTAGCTAAGCAAACCATGTCATAAAATCATGGTATTTTTTTGTCCATCCCAGCTAATATTTATTGTTTTTATAATGCTGTTCTGCCATATTTAAATGCCAATTATACCTTGTTTCTTTTTAAATGTAGTTGCCACTTGCTTACATATTCTGACATAGTGGTTTAACGGTTGAAGTTGAAGTCCTACCGCTAGTGCCCACTATGCGTGATACTGCATATACTTATGCACTCATTATGCCAAAGGTAATAGCCAGTATCTCCGATGGATCTAGAAGATAGATGCAGTTAGCAACGCAATTTGCTAATGCATATAGCATCCCTGTATTCAGCTCACATGTAAACAGCCTAGATCAAACAAACTAAGTTATGATCTCCGTGAGTGTATCGGGAGCTCCCGTCCGAGCCCATTCCAGCTCAAGTGCCACCCGGCAGTCCTCTCGCTGCCTGAGTTTGCGTGGGTCACTGTGATCCATGGATTGATCTACCGCATACCGGTATGTATTAGCTCACGTAATAAAGCATCATATACCCCAACAGCATCTACTTTAGATTCCAAATATAAAAGTTACTACCACGCTCCTATGCCTTACACCATCGTCCAAAATCCGATTCAAACAGCAATCTCTTCGCACACTTGAGTCAATAGGTACTGATGCTACTATCTAGAGCCTCGTAGAGGCGTACTAATCTGTTCCATAGTTTTTCTTATACCAGCCATGCAGTTTCTTCTGAAAGTCTCTGTTGTCCTTGCGCTTGCTTCAAGCGCCATTGCCGGTCAGTGCTCCAACCACAATAAGGGAGCACACAAGTTGGATTGTGTCAGTAAGAGTGAGCTATCTCAGCATGGTAGTGACTATTGCGACACTCATTGGGACACAAAATCCGGCACCTGGTCGAATTTTGCCGACAGCAGCGGACACACCGCCAATATCGGAATGGTTGGATTGTTCTCCTCTAAGGCGGCTTGCAAGTCGGCCTTCGCGGAAATAGTTGATAGCTGCTACAATGGCTGGGATGGAGGTGCCTGGGTGGCGTATGGGACCTTACTGCACATCAATTTCTGCAAGTGGGGATCGGATGATAAAGCACCAAAGGAGGAATTGTAAGGATTGTATGCAAATGTCCATCTATCCCGCATTTGGTAGCTTCGAATGCATTTGCAGGTTAATTTATGCAAGTACCGCAGAAGGAGAGCTTAGACCACTCAATATTGCTTATGAAGTCATAATGATTGACGTTATTTGCTCCCACTTAGGATCCGTCACGTAGTTGCGAAATAGCTACAGTCATCGATGTTGAATAGCCCAAGAATACCAAAGTAATGGTGATATATACATAGTAGCTAAGAGAGCAAAGCTCTAGTGTGTGTGCATGTAAATGGTCTAAGGGTACAACTATTTCAGGCATAATAAACGAGAAGGCAGAATACTGAGCAGCATTGAACACAAATCATTCACATCTTAGTAGGGACAAAATTGCGCGAGAGATTAGCAGAACTGATTGTATACTGATTGGATCAAAGGACAGGAATCATCAATCTATATACGACTCTGCTAAGATGCCATTCATCCACCTATCCAAATAAGACCAAGAATGCATAGTAGCCCTGCAAAATGAAGTGTCGATGTGATGTGCTCATCTTTTGATCGCAGCGCTGCCAAACACATATGATTCCGTTCTTAAGGGTCTAAGAGATATGTTAACATTTAATATATGTTTCGTTCTCCAATGTTAGTATTGGCTGTACCTTTTGCTTTAACACTCCAGCCAGTACCAGTTCTCGCCCTCATTAGTGCATCTGCGCTTGAATTCGGCGATGTTATCACCCCAAGGATCACAATAGTATTCAGCCCAGTGGGAGCAATAGCAGTCATCTTCTTTCAATTCATCACAGATTCTGTGCGTCACTTGCCACATCTCATTGACTGTCTTGTCAGGGTTTTTGCATCTGTATGCGTTGCTTCCACAGCCATACGCAGCAGTCGCAGTGAGCAGGAGGGCAAACAAGAACTTCATGATGGCGTAAAGATGTAGAAAGTATATAATGTAGTGCGAGCAGACTTGCAAGGTGTTAGCTTGGAATGGAAATAAGTTGTCACAATAGCTAAAACGAGATACAGCATGTAGGGGTTTATATACTCCTCCACCGGTTTGACATGCCTGCTTGAACACATGCGGGAGAAGCAACATGGCTCTAAGACAAGGATGTGGCCGTAAAGACTTTGCCTACTCATGCAGCCGTTTTATGTGGTACCATACATTACGTCGCGGTTGCGCCGAAGCTTGTACGTCAAATATTCCTTGTGAAACCCTGACGGTTAACTGAACAAATTACATCAGAGACTTAGTATATGTCATTAAGAAGTTTAAATAGATCAAACATATGAACAAGAGTGTGAAATTTAAGATATTACGTATACATTATACTATTATATCAATTAATCGCATATATATCTCTACTTGAAGCCTTAATATAGAAATAATATTCATAAATTATGCGTATGCATAATTGCTAAATAGCATAATTTCAATTGTCCCGCATCGTACTCTATTTACCTGTCAGTTCTCACCTGAGTTCTTGCTCTTACACCTATAATCACACATTTTGGTACAAGTATTTGCTTAGTATACATGAACCTTCCCCGTGTCTCACATGCTGGAGAGCTGTCAAGATGTGACTAACAGGGATCGGGCTCTCGCTCGTGGCTAGCTAAGAGTCGTGGCTGGCTGAGAGCGGCACCAACGCCACTGACCAGCTTGCTTTTTGGTCAAGCTGCATCATTTAGTGGTAAATGCAGATCTCTCCTAGTAAGAAAGATGATGGTGGATGTCGGTCTGCAGGAGGTGAGATAGCGTATGTGACGGATCACTATTACTACATACTACGACGTGGTATTACTAGCGTGTATGTATGTAGGTATTACTATGTAGTAATAGTGCAGTAGCACCGTTGGGATTGATTCACATGTCCCAGCAATCTACTCCATATCCATGCCGTGTCTTGCCGACTGGTTGGTCAATACCCTCACTGGCATCTCAGCATTTGGCTGTTAAAAAGTGACGCTGCGGGGTGACGTTGCATCCGGGGGGAACGAGACAAAATCTAGACAATCGCCGTTAGTATGTCTCAAAGTATGAAGTCAGAAAAACAGCTAATAATACAATCATATATACATGAATGCATTCGCACTTGTAGTTGGATGTGACGCTAATATGGGATGCCGGGCGGCTATCCGGGTGGGGACGATCAGGGACGATCAGGAAGGAATAACGCGTGTGGAGACAATGATCCTTGCTATCGGGGAAAACAACGGCATAGCTGCTCGGATTACATCCGTGCTTTCAGCTTTCATTGAATACGAATTTCGGGATACTGCTGCGACTCAGGTAAGACACTGGGTGAGGCACTTAATGGTTATGTCCTAAGCTGCATTGAAGCAATGGTTTACATGGTATGAGGAGAACCTTGTGTGTAGCTACCATTGCGAGGCGCCGACTTGCAGAAACTGGGCAGAACTTGAGGATACATCTTGTATGAGACAGACTCCACCATCTGTGACGCTTTTTCTTGGATGTGACACCTGATACATTCATCATCGAAACTGGAAAGAAGTCGTCTGTTCTCATACTAAGGAGGCGAGTAATACGTATGTATGACTCTCAAAATACAGTCTTGAATGCTGGCTATGCGGGTTACCCCGCTTCCTAAGAGCTCAATGCCGCAGCATGCATGGTAATCGATGGGACAGACGGTATCTCCTCTTTTCTATGACGATATGAAACTGTAACAGCTGTGAAGTAGGAGAAGAAAAGGCATATTGAATCGATTAGGTGCTTGGAGGACGGCCCCAGTCCAAAGAGCTATCCGTTCCGTCCTCCATCTAGCATCCATTAAGGTCTTGTTGCTTTACGGCTATATTCATTATGGTGAGACTAGCTATAGGTTATGATTGCTGATGGCTACTCCAGTTCCAACACATACTCTAGGATAGACTAGCATAGACTTTGACCATTATGTGGCTGCGCCTCGCTTGTCTCTTTGAGAAACTCCTACGAAGACATGGGATGACCAACCTCATGTAATCCGTAATACAGTCGTATCAGGCATATGCTTAAAGCAATACAAAACGTTATTTCAACTATATACAAAGCGAATGAACTGCCAAATATTTTATATTTCATTCCGTAGCTTTATATGACTTGTACGAGGCAGCTAAGGCACATCTCTCTACCAGACAGCATCTTAATTTCAAGCATCCACTTACCTAGATAGACTGTCATAACAAAAAAACCAAACTTCTCTGGTTTCACGATCTATTGAAATCTTTTTTCTCGTCTCACAGAACGTAGGCACGTTAGGAATTTAGCATTATCGATCGGTGTTGTTTAATTGTAGTTCGTTCTTTTGAAACACCAATGGCTTGTCTCCAAGATCTCTCGGGTATCACGCCGAATGTCCATTAGATGTCCAAAGTGTAAATTATCAGATTTTGTAAGAGAAAATACTAAATAGTGAAAATAGCGTGCCAAGGATATTTCAATTTCCCAAAATTGACAGCTTTCTTTGCCTTTCTTTTCTTCTTCTGTTGATGGAAGTAGAAATATTGTATAATATTGCACACACACACTCTCTCTCTCTCTTTTTGTAAAAAAGCATCAGACATGATATACAGTGCTCTAATTATGAGATTCGCCAATGGCCTATTTTGAAAACTTCTCTAACCTAGAGGAACTAATATTAGGTCATGTTTCGCTCACCAATCGATATGGCCGGCGGCAAAGTGTGGACCACGGGACGGGCCGTTTAAAATAAGAGGGTGGAGCGTATCTAAACAGCAAGAGCATTCGCAGGCTTTCTCAACTCTTACTTTTCTATACAATTAGATGATAGAAAATTAACGAAGCGAATCGTTTTACTTAAAGTTACCTCTGCAGGCGCTGAGGTTTTCTTCTACCAGGCTTTAGACCCTAGCTTATGAATCATCACACAGCTCTGGTCAATCAATTTTCGCGTTGTATGTAGCTGCTGCTTATCTATACCGGGTAAATAAAAATCCGTAGCCATGACAGTAGCTGCCTACCTACTACGAAAGCAGTAACAATTCTAACAAGCACAGCTGTATATCATTTTATATGCCTCTTATCATAATCAATGGCCTTTTTGAAAGTATTGTTGAAATCAAAGTTCTAATTTCATTATCTTATACTATCAAAGATCCAGTGCCCTACAAATGGATTCATCTCGACATGAAGCGGAGAGGGGCCAGAGCACTAGTCCCGAGCCCATAACACCTAGTCTTTCTCAGAATATTCCTCGCCATTCCACGTCTTCTAACTCCCGGGGAAGATTGAGCCGCAGCCCTCCTTCGCCACCGCCACCTCGTTGTAAGATTTTAGAAATCTCGCTATACACACCTGTAGCTGATTGTTAGCACTGCCGACAGCGCCGATGAGGATACGCAGGCCACGCCAACACACTTCTGGAGAGAATATCAGCAGTGATATACTACGCCTGGCTCGGACCTCTACAACCTTGAATAGCAAGAACACTGTTGATTCCCAGGCACCCAATATGGATGAAGTGGCTTTCAAAGTCAACGGTGACCTTGGTACAATGACTGAGGATTGGTCCCTTGAAGAGCTGTATGACTCTCGGCGAATAGTTATATTTCGGAGGTTTCTATCCAGATCAGCTCTGGAAATCAAATTTGGTGCTGGTCCTCCGAACACGGGGCCATATGAAGATTTCTGTATCTCATGCATTAAAAGGGGAAATGCACCCAGCTATTATTTCACCCAATATGATATAATTCGCCTGGCTGAGTCGTTTCTGATGGGACCTTCGCTAGGCGGATTCAGCGCTGAGGCAAAGCGTCAGATACTCCGCATTTTGGACACTTTTGACCCTCTCATTGTCTCTAAGGTCAAGGCTGAGACCGAAGACCTTTTCAAGCTGATTATGGGCTTGTCTAATCCCCAATCAAGTAACTTCGAGGTAGAGATCGAGGTGCACCGTTGGGAAACCCTCCTGCCCGCGCTTGAAACGATTATGAGCAGATATAACTCTCTACTTAAGGCAAATGGTAAGAATAGACAACCGATAAATATTGGACATGTTTCGGGGGAATGGGCATGGGACTGGGGTTCCGCAAGACCTCACAAGTTACAGCTCCCAGCAATGACCACCTACAAACCAGAAGATTTTAACCTTCCCAAAATTAATCTTGACCAATATCAACTATGCATATCGGGACTAGCAGATTCATTTCTCGGCATTGTAAACGGCTTACATCCGGATGAAGATGCTCTCAAAAGAATCTTAGATATCTTTCCTAACTTACTCGAGGGTTTCGCACTCAGAATTGGCCATAAAGCGCCAAGCCTTATGCACAGCAATATTTTGAATTTTGTTTTCAACAATCGCCAGTAAGTTGTTGAAGACATAACGTGCATTGAAAAGTGTCTAATGATTAGTCAAATTTCTACATCTTTCAAAGTAAGATATTTTGAGCTTGGGAACTTTCAAGAGAAATTTGTTCCCAGATCCGATGATGTGTCAATTAATGATACTGTTGGAGCCTGGTTGGGTAATTTAGATCTCAGCCAAGCTCAATCAGAGGCAAATACGAGTAATTTATCGAAACACGGTCAGCAAAATAATAGCGATTCGGCAAACGCTAGTATAGGCTCAGCAAAACACGATTACAGCGCAACAAAGCCATCGAAGTCCCAAGAAGCCATAGATTCGTGGTTCGCCGCCTACCATGAGCTTATCCCCAAAACAGAGGGTTATAAGTGGCTTCTCAGTCGCCTAGAGAAAGAACTTCACATGGCTCCAGCGAAGCCGAGTTTTATGGATACAATTAAGAATTTAATTACACAGTCTCTACAGTCACTGCTCCAAATTGGCAATCACAGACTTACTACCACTTATGAGGCCATGTTCGAAGTTGACTGGGATATCATGGCGTTTCTAGTGCAACAACAGTATACTATCGAGCCAGAAGAACCAATAGAAAGAATAATTACAGTGACCGGATCCTACCAGGATTCGTACGTAACAACATGTGGCCAATACATTAATCAGACATGGCCATCGTCTGGAAATATCATGATGAAGCTGGTAAATGATATGATAAGCAGCAGGATTAAGTATAAATCCACGAGTAAGTCCATAAGTTAGATATTGATTTTAGATAATGATATTTTCTAGGCGATCCATCCACAGGAACAATACTTAATGCAAGAATTGATGGAGGGAAATTCATAGTTACAGCTCGCGGGCCTAAGACTTCTGTTGTTGAAGTTGGGGAACAACTTGCTTGGCTCGGCGCGGCGCTTCGCACACCTCCAAACGGTCAGGGTCTTGCTCACTGCAGCCCATCCATCAGCTGTCTTGGTGTTAGTGAGAAGCCGTCACTATCTCCTGTTTCCAGGAATTATATTGTCAAGTTCAAAATAATTTTTGTGGACGAGATCGAGCAAGATCCTAGCAGATTGAACGGCATGTGCTGGTACAACCTATTCAAAAGTCCAATGGTAGTTAAAGGATATCCAATTCCAGCAAGAGTTGAAGCAGGCACCGGGGCTGAGATGCCATTGAACATAATGGCGGGTCTAGCTCGAACTCAGCGAGTGGATTGCTTTAAAGGAATGACCTTTATCAAAAGCTTTTCTATTCTCTTAGTTCCAACAAAGAGAAGTGGAGACATGATATTTTGGCACTTGGTTTACAATAAAGATGGGCGCCGTATATCATATCTCGATAGCATCATAACCATCCTGGGATATGCCAAAAATCTCGACTTAGAACAATGTCGGCATGTCCTCGGTTGGTGCGAAGATGCCGACTTTTACGCTGGTATAGTTTTCTCTAAAACATCAAATGGGGTTTTGCTAATGCCAGCTCTCTGCAGGTTCAGCACAAGCAAACTATTTTATCCTCAATTCCGCGCTTCCTGCGCCCCATGAAGGCTGCAGTCTTGCCAGTACTTACGTATCTCCTGGGCGATGCATAGTTGGTGGTCCTGCATTCAGTCTTGGGGTTAAAGACACTCCTGCCCATGTGTCTCGTACCGGCTATATTCCGAGACTTCAATGGATTGCTACAAAATTTGTGCTGCTATGGGACGAGAGCGAGAAACGTGGTTGGCTTGTCAATGGAACAAGTGCCTTGCTGCATATAGTAAGAGCATCGTTGGCGTACAACAACACAGATAAGTTTAACTTTGCTTTCATCTTCAGGGAAAGTAGTTTTCAAGAATCGGCAACGCCATTCACGGCTGACTCGGCTATTGATATGCTCATTAACCCGAAAAACTTGGCGCTTAAACTGTACCGCGAGAAAGACGGTTATCTGTTGTTAGAGAGCAGAATTGAATCTGTTTATAATATTCTAGAGAAGCTCATCGATCATCAAGCAGATATTGCTGGCGAGCGTGGCGTTAATATGACTGATAAACCACGTCGATATCTTGAAGGTTGGGAATTCAACGACCTGGCAATGAGCCGCGATCCACTTTACCCACGAGTGGCTTCTCTAGAGGCACGCGGGAAGAGTTGGGTTGATTTCACCAGAGCTATACATGCCGTTACTCTGTTTGGGCGCGGATTTGGCGACATGATCAAATCACACGGTGTCAATATATGCGAATACTGGGCTGACATGCCAAAACAAAAATATTACGTCGCAGCTTGCCTTTCCGATTTGAGCCAACTGGTAAAAGATAATCACGTTCATACAGATAGTCAGGTAAGAGTTAGCCAGGATATTATATGGCACACGCCGACGAGTCTGTTTGGAACCTGTCGGTGCAAAGGAATACTTGGACAAGATCACAGCGACCCAGTACAATCCTTACTCCCGTCGGCTATGTCCAAGATTTTGCTCCCCAGGAAGCTTGCCGTTCCTACGAAAAGCCGTGGAGCCATCATATTTGGACACAATCCTAACTTTCCTTGGATTTATGAAGACAGTGGTCATCCGAATGAGGGGAAACTGCCGCCGCCTAACGTGTCTGATGTAGATTCTCTCAAAGACAGTGGCATCGAAGTTGATATGGACTCGCCAAAAACAGGAATTACTCAGCCAAGCGCCCAAATATTAATTGAATCTTCAGCCAATAGACAAGTTGAGGTGTCTTTGCCGGAGTCTGCCTCTTTACCGAGCAGCGACGCACACTCCCAGGAAGAATACACAGTTGGAATACTTTGCGCATTGCCCAAGGAGCTTTTGGCCGTGCGAGCCCTTTTCGATAAAAAACATGACAACCTTGAAAGTTTATTCGGAGATACCAACCACTACGCCTTGGGGCAGATGGGAAAACACATGATTGTTGCTTCTTGTCTCCCAGAATACGGAACAACCTCGGCAGCTGATTCTGCCTCAAACATGAGGAGAAGCTTCCCAAACATAAGATTCTGTTTAATGGTCGGCATAGGAGGCGGTGCACCCTCTCTCGAGAACGATATTCGGCTCGGAGATGTAGTTGTGAGCCTACCGACGGCTGGCTACCCGGGCGTAGTTCAATACGACCGCGGCAAAGAAAAAGATGACAACGTATTCGAGCTGACTGGATCCCTTCCACCGCCTCCTCGGTCCTTGATGACTGCTATAAGTTCTTTACGATCCGATCCGGATCTTCCCTCTTATCCTTTGCAACCATATCTCGATGAGATAACAAGCCGAGTCCCCGAATCCATAAGATCGAGATATCAGCACCCGGGGAAAGAACACGACCAGCTCTTCAAAGTCGCATGCTCAAAGTGCCAATTGCAACAAGAATGCGCCGACAGCGATAGCCACGTCACACAGAGAAGTTTGCGGCTGACAGATCACCCAGAAATCCACTACGGGCTCATCGCCTCTGGAAACCACGTAATTAAAAACTCCCAGACCCGTGATAAGTGGGCACAAGAACACGGCGTTTTGTGCTTCGAGATGGAAGCTGCAGGCATAATGAGCATATTCCCATCCCTTGTTATTCGGGGAATCTGTGACTATGCGGATGCATTCAAGAATAAATTGTGGCAAGAATATGCCGCGGCCACAGCGGCTGCGTATGCGAAGCTGCTCTTGAGCGTCGTCGCTGCTCCTGATCAAATCTATGATGCGCGAGGCTTGGCTCGAAGGAGAAACTCGGGACATGAGAGACCAGATGAGCTGCATAATAAGCGGCGGAGACTTGAGTGAGGTTTGGGGTGAGTTTGTACTGTCAATTGATGACGAAAGCTTTGATCTATGAAATGAGGATACGAACGACGTAGCTATATAAACCATTAATATAGCTTTTTGAACTTCTGCATAATCCAAGGTGCCACTATACAGTCCATTATCAAGACGATCTTTACCATCACTAAATCATAGTTAATCCAACGAAGAAACACTGCTACAAATTAGACAAGAAAAAAAAAAACACCAGGAACAGAAAAACTCACACGGTGGGCGTAGAATCAATGCCCTGGAAGAAGACTCACAGATAGCTGCCAATAGCTTCAAGACAGCAAGTATAGGGTAAAAGAAATAGAGAGGAAAAAAAAAAAAAAAACAGTCAGGAAGCATACCACAACAATACAGAGTATGCCACTTACTACCCCTGATAATATACGTAGTTTTGTGGATGTACGATAACTTCCAGATCAAATGATAATTTCGTCATGTCAGAGAAGAAATAAAGACAAAGACTTCATTACAACTACCCCAAACAATAAAAACAGTTCAACAATCTCCAAGAGAGTCACAAAACCGCATGTGTAGGGAGGAATCATTACAACAGACATCTATAAGCATATTAACATCTAGCTTTACCAATCAAACCGGCTCGCGTAGCTCAGTTGGTTAGAGCTTCGTACTAATACTTCAGCTTCAGTTGAAATCTTAGTGATGCGGAGGCCGCAGGTTCAAGCCCTGCCGTGAGCAGCTTTCAATGCTAGAACACCCAGTGATGGGTCGTTCCAAACTTTTTTTTTTTCTTTTCTGCACTTTGTGGGCCAGTTCTATGTGAATAGTGGAGAGTGGCGTGCGTGTTCCTAGTGGGTTTGGTGGGGTCTCGGATTCCGACAGCGCGGTTATATAAACCGGGCCTCTTTTACGCCCCACAGAGCAAAAGCGAAGTTGTGAGATAATGAGAGTCGTGCTTAATGCGGTCGAGTATTATTAGTATTAGTATTTTTACTTTTTTGTATTGAGAAGAAGAAAAAAGTATGCAAAATGCTTCCATTCTCACGTCTCTCCTTTTAACCTTATAGAGTAAAACATCTCCATGCTCGCCACTATGCTGAGCAGTTTTCGTTTATCCAATGCCATCCGCATGAACCGCATGTTTAGAAAAAGCTTCTATATACACAAAAAAGTCATCATATTATTTATCCTCTAATATCTCTTGCAGCTCTGCCATCTCACCACTATGGTATATCATATCGTAAAATAAACCTTTAGAGTTGTATAACTCTCGAGGGGAGCCATATCTGTGACGACTCAGTCAGCAAACTATTAATAAAAGATTCTTAGCATTAAAAAATATGACAACTTACTCAACTACTTTTCCAGCACCCATAACGACAACACTGTCATAATCGATGATAGTCCGCAGGCGATGAGCAATCGTCACGAGTGTGCGATCTTTACCCGCAGATTCAAGTTCAGTTCGGAGTACTTGCTGGATACCCTTGTCCGTTTCGTAGTCCATGCTTGCCGTTGCCTCATCCAGCAGCATCAACTTGCTTTGACGAATAAGCGCGCGGCAGAGCGACAATACTTGGCGTTGGCCATGTGAAAAATTCTCTCCGCGTGAATCTACTTGTGTCGATAGAGAAATGCCCTGAGACTGTCTATGGACGGAGCGGTCATCAACACCATCGGCAACAGTCTCATCAGAAGAGTCGTCACTAGAAAAGGATGCGATGCCTCTGCAATTCTCTAATGCCTTCTCTAGAATTTCTTCTGGAACACGACCAGTAGGATCAAGGTTAGATTCCACAGTTCCATTGAACAATGTCGCCTCTTGGGGGATGATGGTAAGGCCTTCACGTAATTTTCGTCGAGGAACTTTGGTGATGTCGATTCCGTCGTAAAGAATTTGGCCAGAAACAATGTGTGTGAACCTCAAGAGAGATAAAACTAGAGTGCTCTTACCAGAGCCCGTTCGGCCTACAACCGCAACTCGCTCTCCAGCCTTGAACTTGAGATTGACGTCTGTAAGAATATTGGGGCCATCGGGATCATATCTAATCGTGACATTGCGGAACTCGATCTCGCCTGATCTTGGCCAGTTCTTGGGAATCACATGACTGTCGTCATCTGCATACTCTCCTTCTTCGGGATATGTTACGTCGTCTTTTCCTTCAGGCTCTAGCTTGACATACTCTTTGACGCGATGGAAACTCTGCATCTCTACCTCGAGATCATTCATAGCTCGCACCAGCATAAGAATAGTCTGGCTCAGACCATTGGCATTGTTCAGGGAGAAACCGACCAAACCGGCGCCGACGACTCCCACTTGTGTGAGAGCAATAATGCCAGCAAAGAGAGCCACCAAGGCAGTGACAAAATCCACTCGCATGGCTACCCAACGGTTGCAGTTATAGTTGGCCTCGGCCGCGGCTGACCAAACGCGCAGCTTAGCTGCTAAATCACGACCAAAAGTCTCGCTCATTCCTGCTCTAGCTCTGATAACGGGTAGTCCAGCCAGAGTGTCGGCAAATTGAGAAAAGACGGGAGACTGAGCGGATGAAGTAAGCCGTTTGATGATGACTGCCGTACGTGTGTACATCTCTCCAATCACGACGCCAAAAAAGCAAGTAACGAGGGCCGGCAACATGAAGATTGGCATAATTGAGCTGACAGCGGCGATGCGAGCAAACAACATCATGACTGAGTCGAAAGTCACTCGGAGCATTGAGCTAAGTCCAGAGTCGATGGAAGCCATATCGCCAGAGAACCGATTGGTAATGCGACCGATGGGTATCGTCTTGAACCATGATAGGGGGACACTCATGATTGCGCGAATGAAGTCATTATGAAGTTTGCGACCAGCACGCCATGCTCCCCATTCGAAAGCAACAATGACAAATCCGAAAGAGATGATTTCAGAAAAGGTAAAGAGAGCGTAAATACCCATGTAGTAAGCAATATCTACATGGGCATTGTTGTTGTATGCATCCACCCAGATACCCATCCAGTAGCTAGAGGCAAAGAAGAAGACATTGGAGCCGGCGAGACCAACCAAAATGGAGATGGCAAAGATTGGATGGCCAAAGTACTTCATATACTGCAAGGCCTCAAGCCGACCAATCCTGCCTGATGCCTTCATTTCTTGATTCACAATATCGTTTGCCGAGGTTTCGTTGGCAACCTTTGCAGGATCATTGAGGGCATCACCGTTGGATTGTAATTCTGGCTCAGGGGGGGTTTCTGTGCCGACCTGAGTTTCGTCTTCGGTATCGTCATCATCTCCTCCCAACACCTCGGCAATTGTAATTGGTTGGCGAACAACACCAATGTTTGGTTCTGCGCTCTTGATCTGGCCTCTGTCCAATAAGATAGAAAGATCTGCCTGGGACGAAATCCAAGGGACTTGGGTCACTAGAACAGTAGTTCTGCCTTTGAGTAAGTCGCTGCAGAAACAGTATTTCCAAACGCCAGCCGAAGTCTTCGCATCGAGGGCAGAAAAGATGTCGTCTAGGAGCAGGAGAGATGCTTTGGAATACAAAGCTCTTGCCAGCGCAACTCTAGCCTTTTGACCCCCAGACAGTGAAGTACCATTCTCACCCACGACAGTCAAATCGCCGTCAGATAGCTCCTTAAAGTCTACGTTGAGACAGCAAGCTTCAATTATTCTGTCGTACCGAGCACGGTCCATGGGGCTTTGGAAGAGGATATTGGCTTGGATAGTTTCGTTCTGAAGCCAAGCGGACTGTGAAGCGAATGCAATATCGCTAGGTGCTGTGACTTTTCCACCTTCTAGATGAGTCTCACCAAGGATGGCGAGCAAGAGTGTGCTCTTGCCACTCCCGCTCTGACCAGTGACGACGTTGAGACCACCTTCGACAAAATCCAGCGAGATATCTTCTAAACGGAAGGTTGCCTTCTTACTCCGGCGGAATGAAGCGCCTTCAATCCTCAATGGCCCTACCGGGTATCGAATGAGAGGGATAGTGTTCTCAAAATAGGTATCCAGACGGTTAAAGGCGACGCTCGCGGCGGCAAAGTTTCTTGAGAACGCGCTGGCCATCATGATGTTTCTACGGATATTCTTAACAAGGAAGGCAGCAGTAAATGCAGTGGAAGCATCGAGACGATGCTTTTCTACTCCAACGTGCAGACCAAGCATCACTAACAGCCCGATGTATGGGAAAACCTGCGTAACTTGGTTCACCAAGGTCTGCAAAACAGCCACGCGCCACAGCTCTTTTTGTTCCGCCGCCCTGGACGCAATAATTCGGTCCGTAGAGGGATCCTCCCAGGCAAAGTATTTGATGGCACGGATAGAAGCTAGATACTCAGCAACAAGAGAGATACGTGTATCCTGGGCTTTTCTCACTCGTCTTTGCGCGCCATACATCATCCTACCCATATACACGGACAGGGGGGTTGCGAGCAGCAGCACGGCCGTTCCAACCAGAGATACCCAACCCATCATTCTATAAAGACCAAAGAGAGAGATGATTGTTCCAGCCGGAACACCTGTAGAAACCAAAATTACATCTCGTGCTCGAAAGACAGCATCCACGTCGGCGGCCATCAAATTTGCCAGGCGACCAGAGGAAGTCGATTTTTGGGCGTTTTGGCCATCTTTTCCCTTGTTAGCACTCCCCCCTTTGAGATCAAACGGATCTTCCTCCAGCTCCATTGACCCTAGAGCCCTGTGGTATAATTCTTGGGTCATAGCAGATTTGACTCGGACAATCAGCCTAGTCGAGTTGAAGACGTACTGCTGGAACAAGACAGATCGTGACAAGGGGCCAGCAAATGTAAGGATAAGCCATACCCAGGGGTGGTAGCTTGCGTCGCCAGGGTTGGAGATATAATCCAAGAGCCGAAACATGCCGTAGGGAGAGACGTTCTCCATGGTAAAAGCAGCGCTTGCCCAGAAGGCCATCAGCAGTAACTCTTTGCGTTGAAATCGCAGTGCCGTCCACAAAGTCTTTCTGGAAATTGATCGGGCGTTCTGGATCTTTTGAAGTAAATACATGGGTTCGTCGTACCAAGCTAGCGTTGGGATACCAGACATGTCAAGTTTCTGCCTAGTGCCCTTCCACACGAGAGGTGTCAGCCATTCATAGGTGAAGTAATAATTGAGCCAGCTGCAGGTCTCCTCGGGTGCAGGCTCGTTATCTTCTGAGTAACCTGGAAAGTCATGCTTGATAACAGGCGGAACCCACTCTCTTGGAGTGGCTAAGGCAATAATCATTGCGGCACCAAGCGAGGATAGGGAACCAATAACGCTGATGGTTGTAATACACTGATCCGTATCAACTTGAATACAAGGAAGCAGCTGCGCGGCCACTAGGATGAAGAGCGTGGCGGTCAGGACGTAGTTGATTTGATGGAGAGCTACATGGCGCCAATTGAGGTCATTGATGGGACGTAACAAGCCAAGAACAAAGGCGTAGGCAACGACAACTACGTTAAGCAAATGCACATGCCCCTGGATGAAAGCCAAGGTCAAAAAGACTAGCGAGGCAATACGCGAGGCCTGCGACGCAATTTCGTAGGGCCATTTGATGGACGAAGCCTTGGCTCTATTGGCAGGTACGGTATTCTTGCGGTGCCGAATAAGACGAAATGTCAGCCAAACCGCTGATGTAGCGAGAAGCGCACCCTGAAGAATACCAGAACGAGCAAACTCGGAAACTCGAGCTATCCATTCATTCCCAGAGTCGTCAACGCGGAGACTAAAATGGGTAGATTCTAGTCAGCAAAAAAGAGACAATTTCCAATACCGGCGTGGAGAAGAGGTATGCAATAAACAAGATACGAGCAGGACACGCCATTGTGTCATAGATAACAGAGCGCATGAGACGCAGGTAACGTACCTGCTGAGAAACGCTGGAGGCTGTCGAAAGAGCAGCTCATCTGTGCTCAGTGGCGAGAGCAATTGTGTGCTGAGGCGGGATAGAACGACATCCATGATGCCGTCATACGAAATCTGCCCTCGCTGGAGGGTTAGAAAGAGGAGGAATTAAATAAGGATTGAATGGGGAGAGGATGAAAAAAGATAGATTAACGACGAAGGTTTGGGTTTTTGAATCGCGATGTAGTAGGTAATACAAAGCGCGCGCGAGTGGGCCCCCAGAGAGAAGGCTGCCAACACCACTGCCAAACCCGCCGAGTCGCTGCCGAATCCCAGGCGTTGTACGTCCCGCTCGGCGTTGAAAGGGCGTTGAAATCCCTGGCGAACACACCGCGGCTGCAAAAATCCCTGCGCTAGACTCCCCACAAATGACTGATACGGGGATGTGTTGGTGTGCTAGTGGCGTATCTCACAGGGCAGGAAGTGCTGTCAAAGGGGCGGCCTATGAGAAGCCAGCCTTTTGCAACTCTCACCGATTCTTTGGGACAAAAGAGGCAAATGTCTGGTATTTCAGGAAGAAGGGAGCATTTGACGCATGCGTCCATGAGCGGTCAATGATTCTCACGAAGAGGCCGTACTTGAATATGCAGCAGCGAGTCGTTTTAAATACCTGTACGGCCATTGAAGCACGGGTGTTGACGGATCATATAAACGAAGAAGGATTCCAAGTTGGCGAATAAGTACGGAGTACGAAGCAGACATGCTCGCCTGCTCTACCCAACCTTATGGCGCTGAAATAATTGGGATGGCCGCGATAACGACAAGAAGCCGGAGCCGGTCGTCCTAGGCACGACTCAGGCGGCACACCGGCAGAGCTGCAGCTACCGGAGCCTTGGACGGGCGGCGTTGAAAAAGGCGCGCTTGGTGTGGCCCAATTGCTTGTCTTATGGTCATGTCTTATGGTCATCCTCTTAGGCCGCAGCCTCAATGGAAATATGAATTGTGAACTCGCAGACAGAATTGAATAGACCAGAAAGCCAACACTCATAATTACCAGTAGCCTGCAGTCTGGCATCAAGCAGCATTCGGCTGCTATGTATTCCGCATTGGCAGCTTCAGCTGTCGGTTTGCTGCATTCTGGTCGACAAGATCCTGGCTCTGTTCCTGAATTGAGCGGTTAGCTTGCCCAGCACCAGCCATGTCGTCCTACTGGGTCCCTATCGCGTGCTCGGCAGCCAACGTACCGAAAAGTTGCTTCTGGATGACCCTCCTATATAGAGGCCGAAACTCACAATCCAATGAACTAGCAGCTTAATCACCAGGTGAGTCATCAATCTGATCACGAGCGCGAGCCAGTTGCCCAACTAAGTAACTGATCTCGCAAACCACTGCGCGCAATATATGCTTTAATGCGTCGGGAATGACACCCGCTGATCAAGTAGCCTGTATGCTTTATTAGCCTAGCTGCTTCGTAGAGGGAGAGACAGCGCTGCCATGCCAGGATCTAAGCCTCGTTCTGCTCCCCGCAGTGGATCAATGGGTATGGATTCCGGCTTGGCCATACTTGTATAAGCAGTGTGTTGGAAATTTGTATACTTTGAACCTGCTGAGCAAGCAGCAAGCCATTGAAAGATATGAAGGTATCAACGCAGGGCATGGCACACCCACATACACATATGGATTAACGCGAATAGAAGATTGATATGCCTAAATAATTTTGAGAGACAAAAGAAAACGGGTTGGTGTCTCACTGCCACTGCATCCTTGAGGCAGGAGCCAAGGATAAACTGCCACAGCATGCCGCCTTCCATTGGCCAACTATTCTTCAGCTTGTCTTTTTACAGGCACTAATTCATACAAGAAACATCACCTTAAGAGCCGTTCTCTATTATCATTTTCCTTCCAAAAGTAGAGCCCTTCTAAACAATGAGAAGTAATGACGATGACAGGTACAAAGTATATAAGTCAATATAAATTCGCGCACTCCATTAGACGCGATTGGTCCAAGCAACCGACCGACAGCAAGCAGGCGTGCTGGCGCAATGGTAGCGCGCAGACCTCCTAAGTCTGAGGCTCAGGGTTCGAGTCCCTGGTACGTCGAGCGAATGAATTGCTCTAATTACTTTTTTTTTTTTTTTTTACATCTTGAATTCAGAAAACATCGCTTAATCTTCATTTTTGCTTTGCGCAGTTTTCAAACATCATTATAAATGGAAAATGAGAGAACTCAAGATTTTTTCTTTTTTGCTTGCTTCTAGTGACGATACACCGTTTGGCTACAGCTAAACAAACCCTCACCTCAGCAAATCTCGCCCGTGTTCCACCGCCGCACTATATCGTCCTCATCACCCTCCTCCACCTCCACGCTCGGATCATACGCCATACAAACCGCCGTCGCATAATCCCCATCATGGCTAATCGATATCATGGCACTCACATCCGCGTCCGCCTCGCTCTCGCCCTTGATCCGCGCTACGGGCGGTCCACTCCCTAGACGCTCCTCCTTTCTGCCGCGGCGCTCAATCACAACGTCATGGAAAGTGAGCCGACGATGCGAATGGGCTTTGATGGCCGCTTCTTTAGCAGCAAATCTAATCCATGCGGCCCTCCGTGTTAGAAATTTCCTCTTTGGTGCGTTGTGTATGCTTGATTGTCCAATCACAAAGCTTTTGCTTGCTTACCTGCCTGCAACAAATGCAGCAGCTGTCCATACATCTGGATCCTGACGAGCCATCTCCTCGCTAATCGAGGCCCCGTCCTTGGTCTTTTCAAAAGGGTAAAGCTCATTGGTCTGAAAAGGCTTAACAATAAGACGGTCTTCAAGACATCGCAGCCTCGGGTCTTTCCTCTCCTGCTCCTCTGGCGATAGGATTCGGTTCACAAAGCGCGTGGCCCGAGGGCTCTTTAGGATGCCATAGATGCGAGATATCTGGCAGATATCCGTCCCAATGTTTAGCGGGAAAGGAAACGGCCGGAGAGGCTTCATCTGCTGCAACGCTGCATGGACAAGATGATACGAAAACGAAGTTGGAACCAGTGCTGCATTACGAGCAACGAGCGCAAAGCTATCAGATAATGCTGTGCATGCAATATTAACCAAGCATCCCGGCGTTCTATTACAACCACGCCGTGGGGTAGACCGATCTGGTTGCTTAGTCTTATCGATACGGGCGGCCAAAGCGGTGCACTGTTGACGTCACGTCATCGAGCCGTCAAGCCAAGCTCATGCTCATCCGCAGGGAGCTTTCCGAGCGGCGAATCACCTGTTTCACGGAAGAAATGGTCCTTGATGCGCGCAATCGGAGACTTGGAAATCTAGAAGCTCTGCATGCGTCGAAAACACGAGATTCGTACGAATTGTGCATGAAAGAAAAGAAAAGAAAAAAGAGAGAGAGAGAGAGAGAAAACCCAAGATTGTTGAATCTACTGTTATCGGGACCAAGATATGCTCAAGTGCCTGTATGCAAAACTTGAAAGCGAGCCAATGAATTACTACCAATCTCTCAATTCCAACATCAACATCCATATCAACTTGACCCAAAAAACTCCCATACAAAGAATTCGATACACAGAATCCGCAGTGTTACTCTCCCCTACGTCATACATTCATGATAAGCATCAGGGATGTTTTTACCAACCAACCCGCAAACAGGCTTTTCGGGTGATTGTCTGTTGTGAAATGTGAAACATGTGCGGCCTAGAGCCCGTTCTCCCCTCATCGCTTCGAACCAATGCCAACGCGCCACTGGCCGTGATGGTAGCGATAGAACCTTAACGGTTCCTTTTGTCTCTCCTTTAGGCGGCAGACTCGTTGAGGAGCGGTGCACGTTCCTGGTCTGCGGATGTGACACGCCTCCATCTGGCGTCTCTGCCTGCCGCGCGCGGGGCGGCAATGGCGATTGTCAGGACAAAGAGAACAGCCATGATGACAAAGGCGAAGATCCACTGGAATGCAATGACCTGCCGCTTGAACTGGGCGACGCCAATTGCCGCAGAGAGGACACTGAGAGCAAAGCCCATGGTGTAGTCCTTGATTGTGTAAAAAGACAATGATTAGTTGCCCGTTTAGGAAATCGACAGAAGAAGAAGAAGAAAAGCACATTTGACTTACATTATAGGTGACAATGAAAAACAATCCATAGACCAAGATGGACCAGATGAAGATGTTGCCAAAGATTCTCGCCACCAGCGTGTGCGGGTGCGGCACCATGATGGCTCCATTCCAATAAATGGCCACAAAGGTCCATGCCAACGGGCCCGAAGCAACGGGCACATGGATGAAGCGCGGCGTGGTGTTGTGGCGGAAGTACAGTGAGCTGAGGTTGGCAAAGTTGAGAATGAGAATGACCTCGGCAACGGCAAAGTGCGAGTTGACAAACAGCAGCACGAAGATGACGTGCAGGATGTTGTTGAAGATGAAGTGGCTGCCGACGCTAGCTGCGGCGTGGACGACGTCGGCGCTGCTGGAGAAGAGCGAGGTGGCGTATCCGAACTGGAGAATGAAGAGCACAACCCTGTTTCTTTTGCGTCAGAGGTCTTTGTTATCTCATATGTATATTGAGGCGAGCACACTTACCAGTAGATCTCAGCCAGGACGTGGTTCATGGTAAAGGCAGTGCGGTGCAGGTCGTTCAGGTCCCAGATGACCCGGTGGAAGCCGACCTTGTTGTTATGCCATCCGCTGGAGTAGTATACGCTGACAATGACCGACGCCAGCCAGGTCAGCAAGGCGAAGATTTTGTATGCGAGCACGGAGCCATGGCTGTGCGTCTCCCTCCTCGAGAAGGGGTTCCCTGACGACGAAGTAAAAAGGCAATGGTGAGCAATCTGTGTTAAGTTCAAGACGATGATGGGGGATGAATGGCAGCAATCTTACAAGCATCCCACCCAGACATGATGTTTGCTTCTTCTTATTTCTTCTCTTCTCCGTTTCCTATATCGAGAACACGATGACGCGGCGAGTGGGAAGGGCACTGTAGCCTCGATCACAATTACTGTCGACAACTGCTCTGGAATACAATCCACGCCGTGGGAGATGAATTCCTAAATCGTCCAGACGAAAGATATGTATAAGAAAGATAAAAGATAAAGATAAAAGCAAAAAGGGCCTAAATAAAAAAAAAAGAAAGTTCAGAAACAAGGGCAAATTCGCCAGCAAGCCAGTATATATAGCAAACCACCCGTATTCTCAGCGCTCACAACCAACCCGTTCTACTTCAATCACCAAGCCATCGTCTTCGTCACCACCCATTGCGGGGAAACAGGCAACCTACACCTCAGCAATCCTCCCAACCCGCCACCGCCCAGCCAAAAAAAGCCCAGCAGCAGCAACAAACGTGCGATTCTGGTCCATGACGCGCAGCCCCCGTCACCGTTTCTGCTGCGTAGCCAAGGTTAGCCCGGTTGGACAAGGGGGATAGGAATGTCTTTGATTGGGTGGAGGGGCGTGTAAGCCATAGATTCATGAACTAAACTTGCGCACCCTCAGCACACAGCACAGCAAGCACTGTAGCACAAACACTGCCTTTACACCCCTTGCTTGTGTAGCAACTCTACTCTTTCTCTCTCTTAGTACGCGGGAACGATGCCCGTTGCAGAGCTGCATTGCGCGTCGGACCATGTTCCGCCAGAGCTGGCCTGACGCAGCTTTCGCCCAACAGGTGCAAGTTCCACCAGTTGGTGTGCAGCGCTTGTTTTCCAGGTGGGGGTGGGGAATGGGAGCAGCTGACCTCATCGAACCACGGGCGAGGTAAGCTGAAACAATTTGAAGAAAAAAAAGCCCATTATGAAGAGAAGCATCCATTCTTTTAGATTGGTGTAGCAGTATCAATTCTGGCCATGGCAACTGTGGCTGGTCTATATCCAATGTGTCGCGGTGGTGTGATGCTGAAAATCATTCAAGTATCATGACTCTCTAGATGATTTATACAACCAGCAGCAGCACCAGCACTCCTATTCCTTGCCCAGTAGATCAAAGTAAATCCCAGCAAATAATAATGCAAATCCAATAGCTTAGGTAGTTTAGCTACATCAATCGCCGACTTTCCCCGCATCAACACTCCCAAGCATCCAATAAAGGCATCACCGAATACGCGCCAATCTCATGCATGTCTCTCCTCGGCCTTTACTAAAGCAAAGACTTGCATCTATATACCTTCACCTGATCTCTCTCGCTTCGGCCGAGTAATCTTAGCCTTCTAATAACCACGTCCAAGCGTAAATCACTAATAAGCCAAGCGCCATTCGCGCTTGTGAAATGAATACGTAAAAGCAGAAAATGTAAATCAAGCCAACTTGAATTCAATCATCAAAAAACACATACATATGCATACCTCTAAAAATACCAAAGTTTCATCTCAGTTCAGGGTATCCGCATAATCAATCGCATCTAACTAAGCAATATATCCCTTTCTTTTTTCTTTTTGCAACAAAAACAATACCGCCGTCTAGCCATCCATCGACTAAAGCAAAAAACTGTCAAGAAAGCCAGGAAACAAGGTGGTCATAACGTAAAAAAACAGTCATGGCCCGTAAAACCTTAAAAGCTCCCAAATTCATTCATCATCATCATCTATCCATTTCATGAATCCGTTACAAGTCTCTCATTCTCATCCAACAGCCCCGTCACCTTGCGCAGATTCTCAACCAAGCTTCTACCCAGTCCAACCAGGAGCAGCTTCTCTGCATTCGCCGGCAAGCCAAGGTAAGTAGGTGGTTCACGCTCGGGAAGTTTATGTATCCATGCATTAAAGTCTTGCAGACCAGTGCCAGACGGGACGAGGAGTTCATCAGGTCCCTCAACCAGTTTGTGGTCAGTATCGTAGGCAGCCGGTGTGAGGACCGACGTAACCAGTTGTCCGAGCAATTTGAAATCGCCCTCGTCATCAATCTTGCCACCATATGTCTCCGTCACTAGATAGCGTAGCATTTCCCATGGAATGTTCTGCGGCGCAATGTTGGTTCGATTGCCAGCAACGCTCTCAATCCAAACATCAACAATGAACGCACAGCATTCATACTATCATCACCAGTCAGCAAAAAACGATTAAAAAAGAGGGGAATAAAAAAAAGAAAGAGGAATGCTTACATCACTATCATTAAACTCCCAGAATCCCTTCCAACCAAGACTTGGTGCATATCGCAATCTCTCCTGCACAACTGCATGGAGGAAAGAAACCAACAAGTACAGCCTCGTCCTCTCCACGGGGCTCTTAACCGCGCGCGTCGACAGCGAGGACATCGAATCCTTCATATTCGCTCGTACACCCGCCGGCTGTTCATACATGAGCACGCGCGAGGCACGGAGCAAGTTGACAGGAATCTTGGGACTCGACTCCATCGAAAGGAATAGGCGGAAGTCGCTGTGCGGATTGAGTGACTCCATGCGCTTCTCGAGGCTCTGTAGCCAAGTTGGCGCCAGGTGCACGTTCTTGATGAGAACCCACGACCCCGTCTCTGCTGCGCTGCTGACGGCCTTGTCGGCGCTGGCCAGACCTTCATTGGAACCCATCGCAATGTTCGTGCAACGAACTCCTGATCTCTGCACAAGATTGTCTACCTTGTAACTGGCATCGAAACCAGGGCTGGATACCAGGGCAATAGGGAGGCTGGCAGAAACTTGACTGACAGTCTCCTTCAAATCTTCCACAATATCAAAGGTATCAGAGCCAAATACGAGCGTAGCGAAGCGCTCGGCTGCGGGAACAAAGCGATCCATACGGAAAAGCTTAACAAGCAAGAGAGAGTACAGAGCCCGGTCCATTCCCGTAGTACCTTCCTCCCAAACCATGGGCACCACACTCTCGGCCACCTCTTCAGTAAGGAACCCTTCCCAATCGCTGCTTGGGACAGCATCGAGCTTCTCCTTCAGCACGCTAAGCTTCCTGGCAGCCTGGAAAGCAACCTCCTTCTCCTCTGGGTGAGAAGAAAGATCAGTACCAGCGATTCGGTCATCGAGAATCACATCAATCATAGACTTGTCCATCTTGTAGGGTGATGCTTGCGCAAGAAGCATAGCCAGGGTGATGC